AGGGTCATAAGTAATAGCAGAAAATATGATGATGGAAATAAGAGGCTAAAGTGATGTGAGTAAGCGGACATGAGCCAAGGTACATAGACAAACTCTAGAAGCTGAAAAAAGCCAAGGAACTGGATTCTCCCTAGTGTCTATACAAGGAATACAGCCATGCTGACACCTTGATTTAAGCCCTGAGACCTAGTTCAGACTTCTGATCTCCAGAACTGTAAGATAATAAATTTGTTTTGTTTTAAGACATTTAGTTTGTTGGAATTTGTTACAGCAGCAATAGGAAACTAACACAGTCACCCAGCTAGTAAGTAGCAAAACCTGGATTTTGTACATAAGTCTGGTGGGCTCTGAAATCAGTGCTCTTCCCATTCCTATAAGGATGTGGGGTTTTTATGGAAATGGTGGATGTAAAAATGGAAGGTAAAAAGCTGTAAATAAAGAAGAGCTCAAGAGAGCTGATGCTGGGTTCTCCTTGCCCCCAAAGAAGCTCTTCCACATGGCCTGATGTTTTTAATTTAAAGTTATAAAGTTATCTGGATTAAAAATACTCTTCTCGAATAATTACAAATAGTTCTGGCCAGATCTAAAGGTCATGGGCACTTTTGGATGGATTAAGTTAATCTCACTTTTTCTCCTATTTTTGATAATAACTGCAATGGAAAAAAACCCCGAGGTTTTGATTGGGTGAGATGAAGCAAACAATGTTGAAGTAATAGGCACAATTCTGTTTACAGACAGGCCTGGGGGCAGGGGGCAGGGTGCTGACAATGAAAGCCTGGTGGCCATTTGAAACCAGTAGGTACCTTGTGCCAAAGACTACTGAGCCTATTTTGAACTTTTCCAGAGAGAGGACTGACTATGGAAGTTTTCATATTTCTTAAATTGCATGAGATTCTATTTATACTAGCAACTTCCCTTAAACTTTGTCCTCAAGAGCCCCTTGCTTTCATCCCTCACTTGTAATTTATTTCCACAACTAGTGGTCACATCTGTGAAGAGGTAGCTGTTAAGCAAGTAGGGCTGACTGGCTCTAGTCAAATCTGTGAAAGAGGCAGCTCTACCTCTCTTGACTCTGAATTTCAACAGGACCTTCATACCTTAACCTAGCAAGTATTCCCCGACAGGAAGGTTTTCTGTGTTTTTGTTTTGTTTCTGTTTGGAAGGTTTTGAAATCTCACCTGCGATGTTGCTATCACTGCACAGCCTTGGAGGTTAGTCAAAACACCAATAGAAAAGGGAGACTGGCCAGCTAAGTGAACACCTTGGGGATTTTATGCTATGTTTCTATTTCCAATGCAATGTCATCACCCTGAATAATCCCAAGGATTTGTGGGGAAACGAAAATCAGTGTTTCCTTACAAATAAGTTTAAAACCCTTTCCTTCACTCAAAGAAGTGCTTGCTATGGGAATGTATTTTGGGTGGGTTCTTCAAATACACTGTATAGGGCTTCCCAGATGCAAAAGAGCTCCCTTTAGCTCATTTGGAGTAGACAATCTATCAACAATGTGTTAGAGAGATCCAAAATGGTACAGTAGATAAACTCTGTGCCTGCTTCCTTCCGTGAACACATTACAATTACAACTAAATTATAGAACAATCAAACTGGAGAACCATCAGAAGTCTAGCTGAATAGAAGTTTTATAACTAAGGATATAAAGAAGCCACGGTGAAACTGGTAGGAAGGGCAGAGATGCAGAATGGGTCCCACACCTGCATGTGGCGGATGAGAATCAGGAGGTTCCCCAGAGGAGCAAGGGATCCCAGTCCCCAACAGCCTCCCCAGCCCAGAGTACTGCCACTAGGAAGAGCACAAAATATACAACCTGATGAAAAGCAAGGAGCTACAACCAAGATTACTCTACCCAACAAGGCTATCATTTAGAATTGAAGGACAGATAAGAGCTTCCCAGACAAGAAAAAGCTGAAGGAGTTCATCATCACCAGGAGAGTATTGCAAGGAAATGTTAGACAGAGTTCTTTAAGATGGGGGGAAGATCAAAATTATGAATAATAAAATGGCATTAGATACATATCAATGATTACTTTCACTGTAAATGGGTTAAATGCTCCATTCAAAAGACACAGAAGGGCTGAACTGAAAAGAGAACAAGACCCTTACATATGCTGCCTACAAGTGACTCACTTCAGATTGAAAGACACACACAGATGGAAAGTAAAGGCCTGGAAAAAGATAATTTCATGAAAATGGAAATCAAAACAAACAAAATAAGCTGGGGTAGCAAAATTTATACCAGACAAAATAGACTTTAAACCAAAGGCTGTAACAAGAGACAAAGAAGGACCCCACTTTGGGGATTTACTTTGGGGTTCCAAAGAAACCCAAAACGCTACTTCACAGGGTTGTGTACATCCATATGTTCATTACAGCATTGTTTACAATAGCCAAGATGTGGAGGCAGCCTGGGTGTCCATCAATGGAAGAATGGATAAAGAGGAGGTGGTACATATATACAATGGCATATTGCTCAGTCATGGAAGGAAATGTTTCTTGCCATCTCCAGCGGCATGGATGGACCTGAAGGATATTGTGCTGAGTGGTGTAAAACAGAGAAATACAGATGTGATGTGATTTCGCTTATATGTGCAATCTAAAGAACAAAATAAACAAACAAAACAAAAACCAAGTCATAGATACAGAGAACATTTTGATGATTGCCAGATGTGAGGGGGTTTGGGGGTGAATGAAAAAGGAGAAGGGATTAAGAAGTACAAATTAGTTGTTACAAAGTACTCAAGGGGATGTAGGGTATAGCATAAGGAATATAGTCAATAATATTGTAATAACTATGTATGGTGTTAGATGGGTACTAGATTTCTTGGGGTGATAGATGGGAAGGGGGCGGGGACAGGATGAAAAATGTGGAGGTAAAGAAGTACAAATTGGTAGTTACAAAATAATCATGGGGATGTAAAATAAAGCACAGGGAATAATATAATCAGTGATATGGTAATAACTGTATAATGATCACTTCTTAAATTATACAAATGTCTAACCACTGAGCTGTATGTCTGAAATTTATATAAAATAATATTAAACGTCAACTGTAATTGAAAAATTAAAAAAGCGGGGGAATGGTGAAGGGGAATAAGTGGTTCAAATTTCCAGGTATAAAACAAATAAGTCATGGGGATGTAATATAGAGCACAGGGAATATAGTCAATAATATTGTGATAGCTTGGTGCACTGTCAGATGGTTGCTGGACTTATCATGGTGATCACTTCTCTAGGTATATAAATGTTGAATCAATATGGTGTATACACCTGAAACTAACATAATATTATAAGTTAGTTATATTTTTAATAAAAATCTTAAAAGAAGAATGTATGAGATGACAAAGAAAAAGAGGACAATTATATTCCTTTGTTTCTCAACCTCATTAAATGATACAGCAAGTGGAGTAAGAAGGAAAATAGGTGTCTTCTCTCCCATTCTTAGTGAATGCATAGGGCTGCCTCTAATCGTCCCCCATCATTAACAGTCAGAAAGAAAAAAAACCAAACAAAACACACACACACACACACCCCAAAACTAAAAACACAGGGTAGTTTGTAACTGCTGGTAGAGGAGCTGGATGATTTAACAAACAAGATACTGAAACAACACTTTTTTTTTTACAATACTATAATTATAAAGTTGAAGGCACATCCTTGGCAGATCAAAATACAATCAATTACATGCTCATGGAGAAACAATGGAGAATATCTTGACTATAGTAGATGATTATTGCACAACATCGCCCACCGCTGTTCTGGGTAGCAAACAATCAATGCTTACCAATGTTTAGTTAAACATTTCTTTAACTGAAAACATACGGTTGAGACGCCTGGTTTTGGCTACAAAAGGCATTCATTATTGATGCCATTACAGAAGCTCTTTTAGTTGAAGAACAAGAATTGTTGCTTGTATGCTTTATCTGGTCACTCATACCAGATGAACTTTCGTAGGGAGTACAGAACGTTAGTGTAAAAACAGCTAATAATTTGGTATGAATCTATATTTTTATATTGGTAAAATAATATTTTTAAATATAGAAAAGTAAGAACTAAACAAACAAAATCCAAAGGGAGTGATTCTGGGAATGTTTTTATTCTTATTAAAATAACCAGTAACCAGATGCCTCGCCCAAAGAAAATAACAAAATAGAGTAAAATAAATATTAAGAAAAATAATTTTAAAGCAAGATCCACAAATAATGGAAAAAAATCTCGAAGAACATACATTCTTGATTTGAAGCTGTGTACATAAAAGATATGCACGCTTAAATTTTTTGAAACATCTCGTCTACAGTGCTATTTTAGCATTCTAAACAAAGAATACATCTGAAAAAAGAATAACTTTTAAAAAGTTAAAGCACAATATAAAATTATTTGTTCACAAGGCATTAAATATAACACTCTAAAGTTTTGATACTAAACTAGGAAAAATAACATTTCTATTTTCACAAATGACATTCATATTATATTAGACTACAACACTAAATACTCTAGTTGTGTTTCGACCTTTGAAATTCAGAAGGCATCTTTGGATATTTAAGATAAAAGGTGCCCCATAGCTGAGTCTGAACCCGCACTGGATATCAAAATGTCTTTGTTATCTTCAGACTGAGGGCATGGTTTCTGAGTGAATACAGAAGAGTGATAAAGGAACAACAAATAAAAAACTTCAAATATTCAAATATAAAATTCAAATATACAGTAGTGTCCCCCCACCCCCACCCCATGGTTTTGCTTTCCCCTTTCAGTTACCCACAGTCAACCATGGTCTAAAAATATTAAATGGAAAATTCCAGAAACAGACAATTCTTAAGTTTTAAGCTGTGTGCCATTCTGGGTATTGTGATGTAATCTCACACTGTCCTGCTCTGTCCCACCCAGGACATGAATCACTCCTTTGGCCAGCGTATCCATGCTGTATATGCTCCCCACCCATTAGTCACTTAGTAGCCATCTTGGTTATCAGATTGACTGTCGAGGTATCAAAGTGCTTGTGTTCAAGTAACCCTTATTTTACTTAATAATGGCCCCAAAGCACAAGAGTAGTGATGCTGACAATTTGGTTATCCCAAAGAGAAACCATAAGTGCTTCCATTAAGTGAAAGGGTATGTATGTATAGGGAAAAAACAATCGTTTTGGGGTTTGGTACTGTACGTGGTTTCAGGCATCCAATGGGGAACTTGAAACGTATCCCCTGCAGATAAGGGGGGACTACTGTAAATCTATTTTCCTTCTATAAGTTAATATGTGTGTTCATAATTGTGTGTGTATCTATGTATGTGCATGAATAGACAGATATACACACATACACATTTATAAGATTTGTTCTCAGTAGTAACTAGTTACTTACAGCTAATGTCTAACTGAAAGAAATGTTTTTGATCCCCTCCATTGTCTCCTGTGACTACAGATACTTTATGAAGCTAATGGGAGTTTAGAATCGCAAAAGACTTGTGGTGGAGAATTCAAAGTTGGCTACAGATGTTTAAAGCAGGATTCCTTTTAAACACCATGTTTTCTGTTCTGGTAGTAAGGGCTGAAGTTATATCCTTGATTTTTCCCAGACCATAAGCTGCTCTTCTAGCTACCTATGACATATGGGTCCCTTGGCATGTGGGGGCCAGAAGGACAACTCAAACCCACATGTAATAATAAAAGTAGTAACTGGCTTTGTTCAAGTGATTCACAAAGAGAAAGAGGGAGGGAAGGAGAAGGGAGGGAGGGAGGAAGGGACAGCATAGACACACAAACTCATTCACATTTCATTAAAATGGGTTTGCCTTTCTAGATTAATAGCACCTTCATCAAAAGTTTCCATTCTCTCTTTAACATAGCTGAGATTAAAAATGAGATCTTTTCCAAATCTGAAAAGACAGCATGGAATAATGTTGTAAACTTTTTGTGTGTGTGTGTCTGAAAGGATAACAGAGGAAGTAGGATGGGAAGAAACCCACCCCCTACTCTCACCTGATTTTAGACTCTGCCCTATAAAAATGATTTATAATATTACTCAAGTAGAGAAAATAACTAACACTTACTGAATACAAACCCTATATGCTAGGCATTGTGCTAGCAGCTTTACATATGGCAATAGAAACAAACTATTAGAAATTCATTTATGAGTTCTCTTCACTTACATATTCTACATATGAAATCCATCTTACAATTAACAAGGAAACTTAAATAGTGACACAAGTACCAGATATCTGGCCAGTGTACCTCCCAGGCACACAGAGGGAAATGTCTATGTTTATATGACAATGAGAACAAGCCCCTGAACTTGCCAACCACACTAACTAGCAATTACAAATGTTTTAAACTAGAGAAAAGTATTGATTTGGCTGAAAGGTATCACAACCTAGGAAAATTCTCATTTCTGTATTACAATTCATTTTATTTTTGGTAAAAGCAGCTTTGTGTAATAGCATTATTTTAAAGTCATTTTGAGAGGTTATCTAAAAGAAAATTATAATCTATTAAATTATATATACCAGATAACATCTTGTATTTGCTCCATAAAAGGACAAATGTAGTGAATCCAGGTAATTTTATATGATTGGTATATGTTAAAGATGGTTTTTAAAAAAATCTTTGATCTTAAAAAAAATCAATTGTGGAAGAGGCTCAAAATCTTCAGTTTCTGGACTGAGGCTGATAGGCAACACTAACAACTTAGAACTGGACTCAGCAGGAGTGAATAGAAAGCTTACACCAAGCTAGAGAGTCCCTGAAGGAAGAATCTGATATGCTATTTATAACAATGGAAAGATTGGAGGCAGGGAACCCTATAGACCTTTAAGGTCTTTTGAACTACAAGATGAAGAAAGGAACAAGATATTGGAAAAATTGTCAGTTATTTTTATCAATAAAAAACCACTTACACTTATCTCACTCAAAAGAAGATACAAAAGAAAACATACTGGGGCATCTAAGATCGCAAGTGCAAAGACAAATATGCAGAGAGAATAAGGGGGAAGAAAGCCTGTAATAAATAAGGCACATCTATTTTTAAACATTAGTTTCTACTGTTTTCCTTCTAAAACTAGATGCTTTATACAGTGGTTTGAAAGCCACTGTTCCCCAATCTGGCAGGGGTAAGGCCTCAAGAATCTCAAGATCATGCTCTCAAATCTTCAAATTTTTAATTATCCTTCTCTTGAGCTTTTTTTTGTCAAATAAGAAATCATCTATCACTTTAGCAGCTGTTCAGCAATCTTCAGTCATAGTGCTTGTTGGAAAACTCACTGGCCTAAATCTATTACTAGTGAAAACAAAAACTACTGGAAATTAATTTTAAATAAAGCTAGGTTCAGAGTTGATGCCCTGAAAAAGGTATTTTTGCCATTAGGCAAATGTAATTCAACTAGAATCCCTAACATAAAAGCATGAGACCAACACAAAGTCCTTCCACATTATTTTGAAAAGCTAAGGTGAATGTCGTGTCAATGCATAACAAGATGAGCTAGCCACACTCGGTGGCTTGTTACAATGCAGTGTCGTCATCTTCCCTGCAGTCTCCCACCAGGAGTGAGTGCTTGTCAGGTTCACTGGTACCGACGCTGTTTAGGGATCGTTTATCAGACAGTAGTGAGTTTATGGAGGCTCTGCTGTAATTAACAATCCGGTCCAGCAAACCTAGTTTAGGAGAATTTCTTGAGGTGTCATCTATTCCAACATGAATGCTGATTTCTGAAGGACTTTTCTGTCCCATCTGGCTTCGGGCAAGCAGTTCGTAATTCTCATAAGTTGGTTTCCTATAACTGAGCACAGGCAAAAGTACACTAGTGTGAAATAACCAAATGTGAATTAGATGCTTGTCACATTCAAAAACGAAAAGAGATTTGCCTGGTATGAAATGTACAAAGGTGGCCCCTGCTGGGAAAGTAGCTCAAAAGGAACTGTGTAGAGTCACATGATCTGAAATCCTACCTCTCAGAGTCAATGTACTCAATTTTACTCCTCTGTGCTTGTGCTTGCTATGTATAGACTGCATAAGATAATAATTACATAGCTAACACTTTTTTAATTGGGGGAGGGGCCTAGCTAACATTCATTAAGACAGTTGGGCTTATCATTGATTGATACAAGAACAAATCCTACAAAGACTGACTGTGGATGATAAAAGGAATATAAAATACGAACATGAGCAAACCATCATACTTACAGTTTAAGCAAGAGAGAAGAAAGTACTACTGAAACAGATGAAGCAGCCATTGCAGCGGATCCCATCCAGGGCTGCAAAACCAAACCAATGGGCATAAACACTCCTAGGAAACAAGTTTGGATTAGTTGCAGCAGATAGGATGAAACAGGCCACCAATGTGTCTCTAATACATTTATATAAATCATTTCCTCATTTGGTATTTATTCAGCAATTTATCCTCCTGTTGGTGGAGATTTATGCAGCGGCCAATTTTCACCAACAGAGTGCTGCTGTGAACATTCCTGTGCCTGTCTCCCTGGGCATGTGTCAGATAATTACTCTTGGGTACATAGTTAGAAGTGACGCTGCTGTTACAACATGGACACACCTTCAACTTTAGGTGGAGATTCCTCAGTTGCTCTTCAAAAGTGGCTATACCAGATCACAATCCCATCAACAGAGCATGAGAGTTCATGTTTTACAAACTCACGCACACTTGGTTTTGACAGACATTTTCATATTTGCTCATATGATAGGTATGAGACAGATTTATTATTTTTTTAAATTTTTTATTTATTTCTTCATTTTCTACTTTTTCTACAGTGGTCATATATTACTTGTGATCATATATTACTTACATATATTTTTAAAAAATCACTTGCTCCATGAATTAATCTCTCTGGCCTTTGATTGCTCTTTTACTCTTTGTCCTCTCAGTATTTGTGCGTTTATCAACAATTTTGTAAATGCTCTCATGTCTTTTTATGTGTTTATTTGGTTCTCAAACCAGAGAGAACAAGAAGAAAGTGACAACCATTTCTCTTTTGTAATTACGAACTCCTACCAAGCCCCTAGGCACAGGAGATTGTCAGATGCTTATTAAACAATTCCAAATTGCTTTTTGTTTTGGGGGGTCATACAACTTCATTCAATATCTTTCTCTCATCTGGTCCTCAAACTTTAAAACAAAAAGTCTGTGGGCTATTATAACATTATGTGAAGAGCAGAAAATTCTCTATATGCTATAATTACAACTATGTAACAAGACAAAAACTGGTGCAGGGTAAAAAATACCAGAACGAAATATACTAAAATGCTAACAGCAGTTGTGTTTATGTAGCGAAATTAAAGGTAAATTTGTTCTGTTCAGCAAAATAAATGAATAAGTAAATGAACATATATGTGGGGCTGGCCAAGTGGTGTGTTGGTTAGGAGTTGGCTTGGGACGCCAGTTCTGAGCAGCAGGGTCCCGGTTCAGATCCCATGTGGGGGTTGGTGATGCTGCGCCCTCTGCAGCTGGGATGGTGAGCGACAGCTCGACCTGGAGCTGGGCTGCTGCGAGTAGCCGGTGGTGGCACAGGCTGCAGTGGGGCTGGCTGACAGCTGGTATGTGCTTTCATGAGCTGCCATGAGGAGCCGTCCAATGGCCAGCGAGCGACTGCCTCACCCGGGAGGAGGGCAGTGATGATACCAACATGGGCCGGTGGGGCGACGTCTTCCACAACTGGACTGAGGAATGGGGGGACATCAGCTTGTCTGTTCCCCTTTCCTGATTCCCCAACGCTGTTCCCCTCCCCCAATTCCCTAATTAAAATAAATAAATAAATAAATGTATATATATATATATATATATATGAGAGTATATATAGAGATAAAGCAATGTAGCAAAATATTAATTGATGAAAACACAATGCAATAATCAGATGATGTATTATAGAAACATATATATATATATATATATATATAAAGATTTTATTGGGGAATCGGGGAAGGGAAACAGACAAGTTGCTGTCCTTTTGTTCTTCAGTCTAGTTATGGAGGATGTTGCTTCCCTGGCCCATGCTGGTATTATCATTGCGCTCTTCTCGGGTGAGGCAGTTGCTTGCTGGCCATTGGACGGCTCCTCACGGCAGCTCACGGCAGCTCACGCCAGCTGCCAGCCACTCATGAGAGCTCACAGCAGTCCACTAGAGCAGGGGCTGCAGCCTATGCCGTCACCAGCAACTCACGGCAGCCCAGCTCCAGATTGAGCTGTTGTTCAGCATCTTAGCTGTAGAAGGCGCAGCATCACTGATCCTCATGTGGGATCCGAACCAGGACCCTGCTGCTCAGAGCTGGAGTCCCAAGCCAACTCTTAACCAATGCATCACTCGGGCGGCCCAAAACCTATATATTTTTATTAACCAATGTCACCCTAATAACTTTAATGAAGTTTAAAAAATAATAATTGTTTTAGTTGAAGGGAATACAGGTTTTCATTGCATCCTTTTTCCTCGTCTATGCAGGTTTGAAATTTTTAAAATGTAAAGTTGGAGGAAAATATAAAATAAACCTATCAGAATGCTTATCCATTCTAGATTGTAATGAACATGTTGAACATGAAAATTGTTGATTTAATATTACCTTGCAGCACGATAGCAGGCTACATACAAAAACTGAGCTCGTAGCTAATAATAAGAAGACTAAAACTTCCAACATTAATAGATCTCTAATGACTTCAGAGGAAAAAGCAATACTAGTTAACAATCACATACCAGCAGCTATAGGAATTCCAACCAGGTTATAAATTAGAGCAAAGACAAAATTTATCCAAATCCTCTTGACTGTCTTCCTTGATAAGTCAATACTTGCCACTACATCCAGAAGATCATTCTGAGAACAGAAATATTTGTGATATTAATGAGAGACTCTAACTTACCTGGCAATTTTTACATTTGATACTGTGTATATTGAAGACAATATGTACCTTAGGGTAACATGTGAATTAACTAGAAACCTCAGATATTTGAGTCAGCCTTGGAAGATGTTTTTCAGGAATTTTTCTTAGGGTTCTGAAAACACTTTTAAGGTTTTATGCTGGTACAGGGATTAAATCCTATTAAAATAACCTTTGTTAAGTATTTGTTGAAGATAATTATAAGTATGTTCCCAAATATTATTCACTTTAGTAGCTTGTTATTCTTATATGTTTCACTGGATTGAGAAAGTCTGGAACTAATTAGTAAGACTTCTCATTCTCCCACCTCATATGTTCCCAGTCTCAATGGCTGGGAGCATGGGAATTAGAACAGAATCATCGAGCTCAGTATATTTTACAACATTACCCCAGACCACGTAGAGCAGTCTCACAGTCCTCAGAGTTCAGGCTACAGGACTTACCCTTATCAAAACCACATCGGCTGCTTCAATAGCTACATCTGTGCCTGTGCCGATGGCAATTCCAACATTAGCCATCGCCAGAGCTGGGGAGTCATTGATTCCATCTCCAACCATTGCTACCTGTTTCCCCTCCTCTTGAAGTTGCTTCACCTTAGCAACCTTGTGGGAAGGTAGAACTTCAGCAAACACCTTAGTGATGCCAACCTATGTGAGGAAAAATAAACTCAATTCAAGAAATATTACTGAATACCTGAAATATAATGCAGCAATAATGAGCCATCACTGTCCATCCACCAGATGTCCAAATTTTAAAATACTGATACTATCCAATGATATTCATAGTAAGGATATGCAGAGAAATGAGCTCCCTTCTACACTGTTGGTGAATGTGTAAATTGGTACTGTATTTTTTGTGGGTATTTGGTGGCATCTATCAAAGTACGCACATAATTTGGGTCAGCAATTCCATGTCTAGCAGTATTTGGACATACATGTACATGTACAAGAAGAGGTATGTCCAAGGATGCACATTACTGCCCTATTTATAACAACAAAATTTTCATTATTATCATCATTATTAATGCCCATCATTAAAGGAATGGCTAAATACATTATGATACATCCATACCATGGAATTCCATGCAGCAATGTAGAAAGGATGAAATAACTTTATATGTTCAGACATGGACAAAGATCTAAAGCATATATATTGTTATGTAAAAAAAGCAAACTGCTAAACAATGTGTACAAAAATGATTAAATTTATGTTGAAAATACCAGAACTATACATTTGTATATGAGCATACATGCATATGAAAAAGTGTGTGTGTGGGGGGGGGCGGGGGGTAGGACTGGACACGTAGCTTGGGAAAAAGGTAAAAAACTTTTTACTTTATAACCTTCTGCATTTTACTTGTGTTATTTAATAGAAGAGGGGAGAAGGTATTCCAAAGTAGAAAATACTAATATGAAAAAAGTTTACAAGGTAAGGCAAATGTAGAGGTCAGTAGCAGAAAAATGATACATCAAGTGGGACATTGGAAGATAAGGTTCCATAGTGGTGTTTAGGATGTACTAGAAAGGGAGGTCCATGGAGATACAGCTGTATTTTAGGCATGAGAGGAGGAGAGCCTGGCTTAGGCTGGTAGCACTGGTGAAAAATACGAGCAACATTTCAAAGGAAGCATCGACAGAAACTGTTGCATGCTATCACTTAAGCATCTCATAAACTAAGCAAATAGCTTTTTACCTATTATGGTAGCAGACAAAGCCCAAAGTCCTTCCTGCAAAGCATGCTAATTCTTTAATGAACCAAATATGGCTACTCAGTGGTAATGAAAATAACAAATACAAAATGTTTAGCATCTGAAGGCAAGAAAGAAAATGTTTATGAAGAATTAGAAGTGACCACATACTCCACTCCAACAATTAAGTAAACCAATTACCTGAGAAGCAATAGATCTAGCTGTTTTGCTGTTGTCTCCAGTCATCAAAACTACTTCTAGTCCCATAGATTTCAGAATATGGACAGCCAGGTCTGCTTCAGGCTTCACTGTATCAGCAATAGCTATCAAGCCGCACAGCTCATCTAATACAGGAGCACAAGAAAATAAGAGAGTTTGGAATGCAGTGGAAGCAGTACACCATTCTGACTTAAAATTTTTAAAAAATGAATTTTGTGAAGTAAAATTGTTCAGGACTTGGCTGAAATAAAAATATCTCCAAGCCCACAAAGACTTTATGCCACAAACCCTGCAACAAACCTCCATATTTGGTTTTGAAATTTTTACAGCATGAGGTAGGGGTTACTAATGAAGGTAGGAATAGGAAAATGAAAAGAGAGACCTTACTAGGTACTAAAAGACTCCTTTTCTTTACTTAGAGAAGTATTGGGCAACACTTTAGCTAATTTAAAGGCAAATGAAACTGAAAACTAATACTTTTTTTTTCTTTTTAAGATGAAGGGGGTGAATGGAGATAAAATTGGCATTTTATACTGGTGGTAAAAGTCACTGCAAAGAAGTTATTTTATTTTTAAAATAAATGATATTTTCTGCCTCCTACTGGACCTAAAAAGGCCATAGTAAGATACCACCTTCATACTTAGCAAGGGTTATAAATGTTGACTAATTAATCTCACAGCTAGAAATTTACCCTAAGAAATAATTCAACAAAAGAAAGCACCTAAAACCTCAAAGAAGTTTATTGTAGTGCTATTTACAATAATGAAATACTAGGAATAGCTTAAATTTCCAACAGGGGAATGATTAAGTTAATTACAGTGTATAAGTTTGATAAATTATGTAGCATTAAAATAAAATTGGAAACCATTATTTTAAAAAGCGAAATAAAATAGTATGTGTACAAAATTTTAATTTTTTATTCAATTTTATTGAGGTAAAATTTACATACAATAAAATGCATCCATTTAAGAATAGTATATGTAAGAGACAGACAGCAGTTTAATGGTTACCAAAGGGTAAGGGGGGAGGGGGATGGTAGAAGAGGGTAAAGGGGGTCAAATATATGGTGTTGGAAGGAGAACTGACTCTGGGTGGTGAGCACACAATGTGATAATATAGATGAGGTATTATAGTAATGTACAGTTGAAACCCATGTAATTTTACTAACCAATGTCACCCCAATAAATTTAATTTTAAAAAAGAAATAGTATACATACTAATAGTGTAATGCTGTGGTATGAATACATATATATATACCAGAAATGGAATATATATGCAATTAAAATTGACACTGTGTTAGGATGATGCAATTATGGATATTATTTCACTTTGCTATTATTTAATATTATGCTACTTTAGGTTTTATAAAAAATCTTGATTAGCTTTTTTTTAAATTGGGGAACAGTGTGTTTTTCCAGGACACATCAGCTCCAAGTCAAGAAGATATTTCAATCTAATTGTGGAGGGCATTTTCCCAGGACCCATCAGCTCCAAGTCAAGTAAATTGTTCCAATCTAGTTGTGGAGGGCACATCTCAGTGGCCAATGTGGGGATCGAATAGGCAACCTTGGTGTTATGAGCACTGCGCTCTAACCAACTGAACTAACTGGTCGCCCTGATTACCTTTTTTTTAAGATTTTTATTGGGGAATTGGGGGGATGGGAACAGTGCTGGGGAATTGGGGAAGGGGAACAAACAAGTTGCTGTCAATTTTTGGTCTTCAGTCTAGTTGTGGAGGACGTTGCTTCACTGGCCCAAGTTGGCACCATCGCGCTCTTCCCAGGTGAGGCAGATCAGTCACCGGCTCCTGGACGGCCGCTCATGGCGGCTGCTGGCCACTCACGCTGGCTGCTGGCGACACACGGTAGCCCATGGCAACCCACTGCCACAGGGGCTTCAGCCTATGCTGTTGCCGGCGACTCACAGCAGCCCAGCTCCAGGTTGAGCTGTTGTTCAGCATCTTAGCTGTGGAGGGCAGTGTCACTGGCCCTCATATGTGGGATCCGAACCGGGGCCCTCTGGCGTCCCAAGCCAGTTCTTAACCATCGCGCCACTTGGCCAGCCCTGATTAGCTTTTTAAAAACGTAGGCTAGGGAGGAAAATAACAAAGCCAGGCAAATGCAAGATAATTTTAAATTAATTGGTAACAATTATGTATTGCTAATTATATAGAGCTTATAGATGTTCTCTTCTGATTGCTATTATTTTCTTTCTGAGGTCTCAAGCAGAGTCATCTTCTGGCAGAAGAATGGGAGAAGAGATCTAAAAGGAATGGGGAATGAATCGACTAGGGCACCGGTTGGCAAACTGCGGCTCACAAACCACATGCGGCTCTTTGCGTACGTTCTGTCTCAAAAGTTTGCTGACCCCTGGAAGAACCAATCCTGTCCCTCACAACAATTAAAAAAATTATTTGAGGGCCGGCCGAGTGGCGTGGTGGTTAAGAGCTGGCTTGGGATCCCATATATGAGGGCCAGTGGCACTGCCCTCTACAGCTAAGATGCTGAACAGCTCAACCTGGAGCTGGGCTGCTGAGTCGCTGGCGACTGCGTAGGCTGCAGCCACTGCTGCAGTGGGTTGCCATGGGCTATCGTGTGTAGCCAGCAGCCAGCGTGAGCGGCCAGCAGCCGCCATGAGCCGCCGTCCAGAAGATGGCAACTGATCTGCCTCGCCCGGGAAGAGCGCAATGATGGTACCAACATGGGCCAGTAAAGCAACGTCCTCCACAACTAGACAAGAACAAAAGGACAGCAACTTGTCTGTTCCCCTTTCCCCAATTCCCCAGCACTGTTCCCATCCCCCAATTCCCCAATAAAAATCTTAAAAAAAATTATTCGAGAGCCATAAATATATTTTTACAAGGAAAATTTAAAGTAATATTATAAATGAAATTATGATAGTTTTATTTTCATTTTCAATTTTACTTCAGAGCCACATGTACGTACCCAAAGAGCCGCATGTGGCTCGCAAGCTGCAGTTTGCCCACCACTGGCGGCTCTTCCATCTCAAAAGTTTGCCAACCCCTGGACTAGGGAAATGAGGTAGAATTGCCAGACAGCACTAAGGGTCCACTTAAAGTTAGTAATGCTGCATAATTTATCAAACTTATACACTGTAATTAACTTTGCATTCAGGCTGTATTTCAATAACCCTAATAGCTTAGAAGACTTTCAAAAATACACATAAAACAATAACTGAGATCATGATATTGAGTCATAGTGTAATTATGGAAAACCTTACCATCAACTGCCACCAATACAGCAGTTCGACCTTTTCTCTCATGTTCAGTCATGGAAACGTCTACATCATTGTTAATGATAAGACCATTTCTAATCATCCATTCCCGGTTACCAATGAGGACTTTGTACTGCTGAGCATTAAGAACATCTGAAAGAAAGTACAGAAATAACATTTAGTGCTCATTTAACATTTATTACAACCCCATGACGCACGTTCTACCTGACTAACCTTGCACAGTCACTACACTGTATTTTTGGTGGACTATAACCTACAACAGTGATTTCCATGTTTTAAAGAAACATACTCTGTTCTTCCATGCCTCTGGACCTTTGAATATATCGCTGCCTCTACCTGTAATGTCCTTACTCTTTCTCTCAAAACACCGAACTCCATCATATTCTTCAGAAGCCATTAAAATGTAACTTTCTTGGTGAAGCTTTCCTATTCACTTTTCTCTTTGATCTTCCATAGCAATTAAATGAATTTAAAAATTTTTATTGTATATCAGTAGCTGAATGTGAATGATTAAAAACATACAACCATCCTAATGTCTCATTTTAAATGTGTGACTGCTAACTTTAAGTGGGCCCTTAATGCTGTCTGGCAATTCTACCACATTTCCTTAGTCCATTCATTCCCCATTCCTTCTAGATCTCTTTTCCCATTCTCATGCCAGAGGATGACTCTGCTTGAGACTTCAGAAAGAAAATAAAAGCAATCAGAAGAGAGCTTCTACAAGCTCTCATCACATCAAGGGAACTATCTATGCCTGTGTACACATTAATCTAGCTTCCCTTTTGTTAATACAAATTGCTCCTGCTCCTATTTCGGGGCAACCTCCCCACTTGTGCACCAGCTCCCCCTCCTTCACCGATTCTAGAGCATCTCTCCAAAAATTCTCCCCCCCCCCGCATAATCAATATTTCTGTCTCTATTGTAGATAGTCCTATCTTTTTTTAAAAAAGCTCTTAATCTCACTTACCTCTTTAGCTTCCCATTTTTCTGCTTCTGTACACAGCAAAACTTCTCACAAGTTTTATATATATTGGCTCAAATTCATATCTTCTTGTTCTCTTGTAAACTCACTCCAAGTAAGCTTTTGTCTCTGCTACTTCAAAGAATTGTTCATACTGTATACCAGTGACCCTTACTTTAAAACCTAATGGCAGGGCCAGACGAGTGGCTCAGTTGGTTAAGAGCATGAGCTCTGAGCAACAGGGTCACCTGTTAGATTCCCACATGAGCCAGTGAAGTGCGCCCGAGCTGAGCTGCTGCTGAGCTGCCAACAGGTGGCAGGATGGCTCAGTTGGTGAGAGCATGTGCTCCTAACAACAAGGCTGCCAGTTTGATTCCCGCATGGGATGGTGGGCTATGCCCACACGCAACTAAGATTGAACTCGGCACCTTGAGCTGAGCTGCCCTGAGCTGTTGATAGGCGGCTGATGGCTCAGTGGTTAGAGCGTGAGCTCTTAATAACAAGGTTTCCAGGTCCACTCCCACATGGGATGGTGGGCTACGCCCACCCGCAACTAAGATTGAACACAGCACCTTGAGCTGAGCGGCTGCAAGCTGCCAACGGGCAACTGGATGGCAACTGGACTTGGAGCTGAGCTAGCTGCGCCCTCCACAACTAAGACTGAAGAACAAGAACTTGGCTGTTCCCCTTCCCCAATTCCCCAATAAAATCTTTAAATAAATAAAAATTTAAAAATACACCTAAAAAAAAAACCTAATGGAAAATTCTCAGTTCACATTTTACTTGCCCTATTAGCAACATTTTACACAGTTAATCACTCACTCCTTGAAATACTTTCTTTACTTTTCTTCTAGGACACCACATTCTTACAAGTTACCTCCTTGCTCACCACTTCTTAGTCTACTTCTCTGATCCTTTCTCATCCCCTTGACTTCTTAATTTGTAGTTGTATGGCTCAATCCTTAAACCTCCTTTTTCCTCGCTATCTCACTCGTTGGCGATCTTTTCCAGTCTCGTGGTTTTAAATACCATCCATACCAGCGCTGTCCAACAGAACTTTCTGTGATGATGGAAATGTTCTATATCTGCTCTGTTTAATAAAGTAGCCACTAACAACATGTAGCTATTGAGCACTGAAATGTGGCTAGTATGGTTGAAGGGCTGAATTTTAAATTAAATTTTACTTAATTTAAACTTTAAAAGTCACATGTAACTAGTGGCTACCATATTCGACAGCACAGATCTATTAGTGGAGCTCCCAACTCTATATCTCCAAAACTCAGTCTGTTTCCTTCAACTCCAGACTTGTGCAGCCAATTGTCTACTTGAGATTTCCATTTACGTGACATATTCACTTGAATGTCTAATAGCCACTCAAACATTACATATCAAAAACTGAACTGCTAATCAGTTTTCTTCAATATTGTCCCACCTGTGGTCTTCCCCATCTTATTTAAATAGTAAGTCTACCCTTCTAAATTGCTTAGACCACAAAGCTTGGCATAATGTTGACTCTTGTTTCTCTCATACCCCATAGCCAAGCTGTGAGAAAATCTGTCAGCCAGCTTCAAGACACATCCAGAATATGACCACTTCTTGTGACCTCTACTGTTACCACACGAGTCCAAGCAACCATTATCTTCCACCTGGATTATGGCAATAGTCCACTAACTCATCTCCCTGTTTCTGCCCTTGCCCTTCCCAAAACAGTGTATTTTTATCAGAGCAGCCAGAGTAATACTTTTAAAACATTAAGTCAGATTCTGTCAATCCTCTATTCAAAAACCTCAGTGGCTTCCCATCTCAGGGTAAAAACCAAAGTCCTTTCAACGTCCTTACCTGATATAGTCCTGTACTACCTTCTCCGACCTCACCTCATATCCCCTTCCCACTCATTTCCTTTGCTCTAACCACATTGTTCTCTTTGGTGTTCCTCAAACTAGTCAAGCATGGTCCTGACTCAAGGCTTTTGTACTTGACATTCTCCCTGCCTGTAATGCTCTTATCACAGATACTCACCAAGCTTTCTACCTCCCCCTCTTCAGGTTTTTGCTTAAACACCACCTTCTCAATGAGGCCAACCCTTATCAACCTACATAAAATAAGACTGGCTACTCCCAGCATTCCTTATACCCCTTACCCTTCTTTATTTTTCTACATAGCACTAACTCCATAAGACATACTATACTTTTTCAATTTATTTGCTCACTGTCTTGTGTTCTCCCATTAGGAATTTAAGTTCAATGAGGTACTCACTTTGCCTATTCTGCTCACTGCTGATTTTTTAGTGTCTTGAACAGTTTTTAATAAAAGATGCCAAATGAACAAAATTACTATGTGTCAGTGTGCGTGATACTAGAAGTTTACAGAAAAATAATAAAGAAATCGCAGTTTAGTAGAATCAGGCAGGTCAATAAAGTATTTTCATGCAGTGTGCCATGTACAACAACAGAGTACCATTATGATTAAAAATGAAGAGCAAATATCTCTGCCTATGTATGCCCATCAGTGAAGCCTTCACTGAAGAGAGATGTGGCTGAGTCTTAAAAGATGAAATTAAGTTCATGACATGGTGTAAGGAGGAACTGTAGGTAGCTCCAGGTTGAGCTGTTGTTCACCATCTTAGCTATAGAGGGCGCAGCATCACTGGCTCTCATGTGGGATCTGAACCGGGGCTCTGCTGCTCAGAGCTGGTGTTCCAAGCCAACTCTTAACCAATACGCCACTCAGCCGGCCCGACATTTAATATTACTTTATATTAGTGGTTTTGATGGAAAAAAATGTTTATATATTTAGAAGGAGCTCCTACAAAAAGAGAGTTGAAAAATAAAGAAGCAAGGGGACATAACAGAGGCTGAGGTCCCTGAGGAATCAACAGAGGGTGGGATCCAGAGCAAATATGAGGGGCTACATTAGACAATATGAGAGATACTTCTTCTACCGAGAAAGGAATAAATCTAGGCAAAAAGTCTGAAAGACACACGTATGGAGGCCTTAATTTTCTATCTGAAAAATAAGCCAGATAATTTGCTTAGGGAACTAGGGGGAAGGCCACAGGATCTTGTGAAGGATATAAAAGATTTGGAGTAGCTGTGGTGAGAAATAAAAAGATAGCTGAGGGCCGGCCGAGTGGCATGTTGGTTAAAAGCTGGCTTGAGACACCAGCTCTGAGCAGCAGGGCTCTGGTTCGGATCCCACCTGAGGGCCAGTGACACTGCCCTCTACAGCTAAGATGGTGAGCAGCAGCTGGGCTGCCATGAGTCGCCAGCAACAGCGTAGGCTGCAGCCCGTGCTGAAGTGGGCTATCATGGGCTACCGTGTGTGGCTGGCAGCCAGCGGGAGCGGCCGGCAGCTGGAGTGAGTTGCCGAGAGCCGCTGTGAGCGGCTGTCCAAGGGCCAGTGGCTGATCTGCCTCACCCGGGAAGAGTGCAATGATGGTACCAACATGGGCCAGTGAGGCGACGTCCTCCACAACTAGACTGAGGAGCAAAAGGACAGCAACTTGTCTGTTCCCCTTCCCCCGATTCCCCAGCGCTGTTCCCCTCCCCAGTTCCCCAATAAAATCTTTAAAAAAAAAGATAGCTGAAATAAGATGGAAGATCAGCTAAGGCTAGACTTTGTAACCCTATAGTGGAATCAAGGAGCACAGTTGGAAAATGTTCTTGAATAACTTGAGTGATCAGAGGCCTATGGTAAAACTGATTTGAGAAAATGAAACCATGATGCTAACTTTTGTGTTTTATATAACAGTTCAGGATTATAAAGTTTGACATCTGTTAATAACTGTCCCATAATTGGTACTACAAAGAAAATTAGCTTACTTGAGAGGTCAGCATCAATGATCATGGAAGACGAAGTTGATGACTGTTCATTACTTGCATCAATTTGAACCAGAGATGCATTTTTAATATTATTTTCCTCTATCTTCCAGTTATTCTTATGTAGCAAGCCTTCAATATTGGTGACTTTACAGCTAATACCACAGCCTGGCACAACCTGGAAATCTATGCAGGTACCCAAGGTTTCAGTGTCCAGTTCCTAACAAATAGAAACAGAAGGATTTCCTCTGATGTTCTAATAATCCAAGGTCATCATTAGCAAGATCAAAGGTTACTGCTAGTTAATTATAAATGTTTAGAATAAAATTGTCACTTATCATTGCCTATTTGACAGTAGATTTTAATAAGGATAAAGGAATGGAGCACTGAGTGTTGTGTTCAAAGTTACAGGAGAACCTCAGAATTCTTTGTTTTAGTCCCACTCTCTAAAATGTATACCAAGCATAGAGAAAGGAAACTTGGAAAGTTTATCAATATTCTCTGACCTTTCCAGTAAAGGATTATAAGTTAAATATTTAATTCTATTGTCAAGTCATATTTTCTATTCAGTACAGGACAAAGGGTAGCAAAGAGCAGGGCCATTAGTTACCAGGATGTCTCTCTAATATAATTCTGTGTCCTTAGTAAGCAAATGAATTCTGGCCCTTTATGTCTTCATCCTATCTGATGTTCTATGTGGGTGTAAAGAAGCCAGGTCAGTAATAGTTAATAGGTAAAAAGAAAGAACAAATAAAGAAATGGCAACATCAGAGGTATAAAAATTGCCACATTTTAACTATAAAATTATGTGAGATAGCTTACAAATAACTAATCAATGAAAAAAGATAAACAATTCTATGGTAAATAGGCAAATGATACAAGCAGACAGGTTATAGAAAAAGAAATTCAAAACGCCAATACACATATGAAAATTTGCTTAACCTTATTCATAATTAAGGAAATGAAAAGCAAACCATCAATCAGTAAATATTTTTTACCTATTAAATAGGAAAAAGTAAAGTGGTAAGAATGTGCAGAAATGGGCAATCATAAGTTCTGGTGTAAATATACACTGGTACAACCTTTCGTGTGGGTGTTGGTACTACAATATTTGTCATGTGGGAATTGGTAATATACATAAAAATTTAACTGCATGTATCCTTTGATCTAGCAGTTGCATTGATAGGCATATAACATGGAGATAAACTTTCAAAAGCTGACAAGGATGTTAACTGTACACTGTAAGAGCCAAAACACAATTGTACAATATGGTATAGATATTAAAAACAATGAGGAGGCAGATACACATGTCCTGATATGGAAAAAATCATTTAGTAAAACAAACAAAAAACCAAGATACCAAAGATTGGACACTCTGTGACCTTTCTATGTAAAGTTTAAAAAATAATAAATGCATACATTTTTGGTATATGCGTTAAAAATGGTTAAGGATGCACACTTGTGAATATACTAAAAATTAATGAATTGTATACTTCACTATAGTATGTGGATTGTATCTCAATAAAGCTGTTATTTAAAAAGACTGTTAACAGGCTAACACTTGTTAAACTTTGGAGAAAGGAATTATGGAAGGGGGCAGGAAATGAGGGTTTCCTTTTTCCTTATGTAACCCTGAACTATCTGAAATTTTCCTACCACAAATATGCATTACTTCTATCTTAATTTTTTTAAGTCAACAGGGGTTATCTGTGTACGATTATAATCAATTTCTGTTTTCATCTTTATACTTTTCTGTATGAAGAATCTAAGACATACTATAAAACAAAATGAGAAAACACAATCTCTCTAGCCTCATACTAACTATATACGTAAATCATAGTCAAACACTGGTTTGGATTTGGTCTGAGTAATTTCTATAGGAGATGACTACATCAATAAACAAGGGAAAAATTGTACCTGCTTGCAGTATTTGGTTATGGCTGCTCCTAGAGGGTGTTCACTGTTACTTTCAGCAGTTCCCACAATGGCCAGGATCTTATGGCGTGATATTCTGTTACTTTCCACTAGAACCTTTACTTGATTCACTACCGGAGTTCCATGGGTAATGGTTCCAGTCTTATCAAATACCACTACCTTTACCTGTAAGAAAATTAAAATACAATGCACCTATATGACTTGATAATCTTTACTATCACCTTTCCAGAAATGAGAGAAAAGTTTACTTTGATAAACATTACTATTTTGTTTCTTAATAAATTGATCTTTGACTTAATTTGACTTAATAAACTGTCTTTGGGAGAACAAAAAGAAGGGAGAATAAAGGAAGAAATATTCTTAGTTAAACGTAATAGCTCCCCCCTTGTAAATGTTCAACCTACTGTGGATATAACAACTAAAACTAACTGTTAAGGGTTAACTGTTAATAGGTAATTAAGAGATGCCTCTGGTGCAGGGGTTGGCAAACTTTTGAGACAAAAGAGCCAATCCTGCCCCTCACAACAATTTAAAAATTATTCAAGAGTCATAAAAAAAATGAAATCACCATTATGTGAATGATATCCTTTAAAACTTTTATAAATGAAACTATTATAGTTTTATTTTCATTTTCAATTTTACGTCAGAGTCATATGTACGTACCCAAAGAGCCGCACATGGCTCGCAAACCGCAGTTTGCCAACCCCTGCTCTAGTGCCTTCATAAAAAAATAAAGGCTTTCAATATTGACAAATTATAGATCCGTAGGGGAAATATGGGTATTAGGCAGATGATTACAAGAGAAAGGTAGGTAAGTAATTAAGTTGAAGTGAGCATCGGGTAAGATCTGCTGGGTTTCTTTGACTTTATTGGATCAAGATAAGAAACTTGGCTTGAGAAGAGACAGCTCTGGGCATCAATAAGGGAAAGGCAGCCCAGAAAAAAAAAGGAAGAGTTTAGAATTAGAGAACACCATCACCTCACAGTAAACTCAGAATATGAACCTTGAAAAATGAATAGCTTGAGGAAACAAGATGAAAAGACAAATGACAACTAAATACAAAGCATGACTCTGGACAACAGGGAAAAATAGCTTTTAAAGATGTTATGGAGACAACTGAGGAAGCTGGAATATGGACTATAGATTAGATAATATTGGGTCGTTGGGAAAGTCATGACGTATTTTTCTATGTTTTTCAATGCAAAAATGCGTCATGACTTTTCTGATGACCCAATAGTACTATATCAACTTCTTGATTTTGGTCTTTGTACTTTGGTTATGTAAGAGAATGTCCTTCTTAGGAAAGGAATCTGATATCTGCAGTAAAGAATATAAAGGAGTTTGTTATACTATTCTTGCAACTTTTCTTTAAGTTTGAAATTACATCAAAATTAAAAAATACTATAATATAAACTAATAGCCAGTATTCACTGGCCAGATGAGGTTCCAAATCTGTCTTAAACTGTGTTCTGTGTTTACTACATGCATCTGTATATAGTTTATATCCTCATGAGAAAATACTAGAAGAAACACGGTTTTAGTTGAAGTCAAGTAGCCTGGATTGAGTTTGTTGTGATCTAATATGAGAGAGATCAGGGATGGGATTATATTCCGGAAGTCACAGTTGCAAATGTCAGCTAGTGGAAGAAAGGGAAAGAACCTGCACTGTAACCACAGTGCTACCTCACGATGAAGTGCACAAACAGAATCACACAAAAATAAGTTAGAAGCCTGGAAGACTTGGGCAAATGCCTCTTCTGTCTTCCTGCCCTAAAGACTTTTCTCATGAGTTGGGAGTAGGACTCCAGGTTTTCCACATCAGCAGCTGCTCTAAGAGAATAGGCAAGTAGTTTTAGAGATCTTAGATAATTAAGTCCAATCTGGAGCAGAGCCAAAATAACACCTTTCCTACTTCAGCCCTCAGGATAGTGCCAGAAGGGGCTCAGCTTATGGACCATGGGGAAATAATTTAAGACTTTTTCAGTAGGGGTGCTACTGCCAGCTTGGATGGGACAATTCTTAGTTCTGGGGACTATCTTACCTTATGAGCCATCTCCAATGGCTCACCACCTTTGATTAGTATGCCATTTTGAGCGCCTACTCCTGTACCCACCATTACAGCAGTTGGAGTGGCCAACCCCAGGGAACAGGGACATGCAATGCACAGAACTGTGATAGAGGCTTGGAAAGCAAAGCGTATTATCGTTTCTGTTCGGGAGATACTTCTGTTGTAGCCCTTTAAAAGAAAGGTATGAATTTTGGTTACTGACTTAGAGCTGTATAAAACAAAAAGAACAAAGCTTAACTCTTGTTTAAATAAAACCTCAATTTTGAAGTCACACATAATGCTACTTAGCTACCAACATACATGTTTTAGTTAGTAGTAAGAAAACTGTTTTTATGAATATAAGAAATTGTGACATAACTGGTAAACAGGTCACAGTCCTAAAACCAAGATTTCAATTTTACTGATTCAGAGTTACAAACAATGGAATGAATATAAGGAACATAAAAGTCAGCATTTTTTTTGCCCCATATTGAGAATAAATGTTTTAGAGACTCAAAAATAGCTTCAAACATGGTGCCTAATTCTCAACAAATTTGATCCTAAACAAAAAGAATTCTGAATCTCTGTATACTGAGACCATAAATCTGACTTTCACACTATTCTCTCAAGACAATGAAAAAAATCACCCAACATGCAAAGGGAGCTTAATCACATTTCAATAAAATTATTTTGGATGTAACAATGTAAACTGAGTATATCTGGCGGTATAGCTCTTCATGGCATTGAATATTTGCTTGTGTGGGTAAAGGTGACTGATTGTATTAGGGGAGATCTTCTAAGACCCCCTGAACTCATGATACACATTCCAAAATACCTCCCAGCAATCCTCTTGTTCAATGTGTACTTAACCAACATGAATCATTTAAAGAAACTTTTTTATTATATTAATGACCACATCATGGAATAGATACATAGTTGATATGATTCCACTTGCTATTTAAGTGAAGGGATAAACAGCATGAAACAGTGTACAGAACAGCATTTTTTAAAATAAAGAAACCAACAAAAGACTTTCTTATTAGTAATGCCTTTACAGTGTCAGGCTCTTACTAAGTTCTCAAATACTTAAACTAAGTGTTCATCTAAGAGTTGTGTATCTATATAGAAACAGAGTTGGAAGGGACTTTCATAGACATTTAAGTTTATGCTTTCATATGTCATACGTGTATGTTTTTACTTACACTAGCTCCAATCCTGCAATTTAAGTATTATTATCACTATATTACAGATGACAAACTGAGGCTAAGAGAAGGTAAGTGACTTAAAGACTGTATCTCTAAAATGAGGCACAGTCCAGGTCTGCTTTACCACTTTATGACACCATACTTTAGAGACTGTCATAGAACTGGAAAAAAGCAGGCACTAATATTATATTTATAAAGCATTTAATAAATTACAAAGGATTTCTATTATATCATCTTATTTAACTTTCATAACAACTACAAGTTATGCAGGATAGGATTATTAAAATCTTACTTTATAGGTGAAATTAAAGCTTAGTGAGAAATTAAGTTGACCTAAGATCACACAGATGGTAGGTATATGGCAGGGCTGAGATCATGAGGTTTTCCTCAATATATCCACAGTCCTTTGCGAAAGCAAAATCATGCTGGTAATTAGGTTTAAAATGTAAAAGTTCAATACTTGCTTTGGGAAAATCACAAGTCATAATGAAAAAAGTCTTTCTAAAAGGAAATCTTTTATATTTACAGAAATACAAATGTTATTCTTATCACCCTCCTACTGCAGTTCCTTAAAGATACTATTAATTATTAAGGTTATTTTCCAATTAATTACCTATGCAAAAAATTCACAAACTGTTTTACACAGAGTAAAGAATTGTTACAAGGCACTTACAGGAAAGTAGGTTTCCACAACTTGAAAATTCAGAAATCCAATTATAATCCAAACCAAGAGGGTAACAATGGAAATAACAACAATAAAAGGAACAAAGTAGCCACTGAGTTTGTCTGCAAACTGCTGGATAGGAGCCTAGAATTAAAAAATAATAATATGTATATCAAAGTCTCCTTTTTTGACGATGAATAGAGTATTTTGGTACTGTGCACAAACAGAATTATTTTAATTAACTCCATATTAATGCAAATATAATTAATCAAAGGAAAATATAAAAACTATATCAAGATTTATACTGAGTAGGCTTTAAAGAAAATAGTTCCTTAGGGAGTTAAATTACCTTTGATGTTTGTGCCTCCTCCACAAGTTTGACAATTTGAGAAAGGGTTGTGTCAGCTCCTACATGGGTTGCACGGATAAGTAGTGACCCATTCTGGTTAATGGAACCAGCAATCACTGGGCTGCCCGATTTCTTAGCCACAGGCATTGCCTCCCCTGTGTAAGGAGTAAAGATAGATTTAGGGAGCATAAATAAGCACTATCTTGAAACATACTGTTATTTGTTAATTTTCAAAAAAATATCTAGAAAGGAGGTTCTTATTTCATGAAACAGAATCTGGGAAAATGCCCAGGTGAAAGTTGTTTTCCCTTTTACCTTATGTCAGCTCTGGGCCAAATAAAGGCACACATTTCTTAAACTGGAAAAGCCTAATCTGCTAACTATTGTTGGCAGATATTTTTGGAACTCCACCCTAGTTTTATATTACTGGTTCCCAGCCTATCCCCAAGGAGCCTTTAGAAATGTGGGAGGGAGTTCTTGTTTATAATTACTGGTAGGGCACAGGGTGCATCTACTCCAATTTAGTGTACCAATGTCAAGGATACTAAATATACTACAATGTGTAAATCCCCCAGAACTAAGAATCGTCCCATCCAAACTGGCAATAGCGGCCCTACTGAGAAACAGTCTTAAATTATTTCCCCATGGTCCATAAGCTGAGCCCCTTCTGGCACTATCCTGAGGCTGAGTTATTTTGGTTCTGCTCCAGATTGCCTTAGTTATCTAAGATCTCTAAAACTACTCACCTACTCTTTTAGAGCAGACGCTGATGTGGAAAACCTGGAGTCCTACCCCCAGCTCAGTTGAGAAGAGTCTTTAGGGCAGGAAGACAAACTACTGGGTTGTCGGAAAAGTCATGACATATTTTGTCTATGTTTTTCAAAGATCACTTATTTATATAAAGAACAAAGATCAATCAATGATATATTGCTCATTTTGTTCGATAACCTTTTGCCATCTTTCAGTGAGCTTCATAATTCCTCGTTCATAGAAGGACCTGTCTTTATTTGCAAAAAACTGAACAAGGTGCTGATTTACAGCCTCATCTGAATTGAACGTTATACCATGCAAGGAGTTTTGAAGAGAGTGAAACAAGTGGAAGTCTGATGGCGCAAGGTCAGGCGAGTATGGTGGGTGTGGCAACACATCCCATCCAAGCTCCAATAATTTTTGACGGGTGATCAAACTTGTGTGTGGTCTCGCATTGTCACGATGGAACACACTCCTTTACAATCAACAAGCTCTGGATGTTTCTGGATGATGGATTTGTTCAAACTGCCCAATTGCCGACAGTACACATTCAAATTGATTATTTGGCTCCTTGGTAGGAGTCCAAACAACACAACACCTTTAAAATCCCACCACACTGAGAGCATAACCTTATTCTGATGAATGTCTGCTTTTGATGTCCTTTGAGGCGAATCATCACGTTGGGACCAAGACCATTTGTGCACCACATTATTGTCAACAATCCACTTCTCATCACGTTATCAGTCGCTTCAAAAAAGGATCGTTTTCCTCATGTTTAATGAGCATACTGCAGCTGTTTATACGCGCCGTCAAATGAACTTCTTTGAGTTCATGCGGAACCCAAATATTGAGCTTGCTTATAAGTATCCCAGCTTCTTCAGGTGGTCGTGAACGCTTGAATGATGGATGTTCAATGTTTCTGCAATCTCTCATGTCATGTAACGGGGGTTTGACTCGATCAATGCCTTTATTTTGTCGTCATCAACCTCCCTGACCGAGGAGTGTCGCTGAGATCAAAATCACCAGCACAGAATTTCGTGCACCATCATTGGCACTGATGTTCTTGTATACTGTAAACTTTATGCAACTTTTCACAAGCTTGATGTGTGTTCTTCCCTTTATGGAAGTAAAACAGTAAAATACGGCAAAAATGCACAGCTTGGTCTTCCATCTTCAACTTGTAAAATCTCCAAAACTCAACCAAATCGCTCATTTTTTAAAATATGAAGCTAGAACTGTCAGCTGTCAAATGACATGACAATAACATAGATGCGAATGACTATAGTACTTCCGAAAATGAACCAGTGCCATCTATTGCAAACATGCGTTATGACTTTTCCGACAACCCAATAGGTAATTGGGCAGGTAAATTTGCCAAAGTCTATTGGGCTCTACAGTAGAACAAGATAATTTCCTTTGGTTATACATTCTAGCAATTAACAACCCTCAGTGAAAAGAGCCTTCGTTAACATAACCAAAACCATAAAGTAAATCTGCAAAAATTGATCATTCACACAGTGTTAAAAAGAACTTATATTCTCTTTGTTCATTATTTACTCATTCCATAATTTCTACAAAAAGCTCATCTTTCATGCCTATTTTTCATTAATACTGGATTCACTTCACTTTCATGTCGTGATCCTCTGAAGAACAAACCTGTGATGAGGGACTCATCTACCATAGAATGTCCTTCAATAACACGACCATCCACTGGAAATTTGCCTCCTGGAACCACTTTAATAATGTCTCCACGTTGTACAAGTTCCACATCCACTTGTTCTTCACTGGACATGAGTTAAAATAAAATTCATTATGACAATATGCTTCTCACCCTGATTTTTCCATACAAGCTTTTATTTGTAGTTCATATCAAACTTGTGGCTCCGTAATTGCTTCCAATGGAAGCTACAACTAACATTTAAACTAGGAACTACAATGTAAGTCCTATTCAATGTTGGGGAACAGCTCAGTACCTGGCACAAAGTAGGCACTCTAAATATTTGTTGAATAGTCACTGAATGAACAAATGGAAGCTTTAGAAAATAATGTAATGGGTTTTATTTAACTAAACAATTTATTTGTTGTATAAATATGCCTAAATAATTTTATGAGTATACAAATGAGAAATACAAAAGAATGAAATATAATCAAGCTTTAGCTTTAACTTCCAGCTTACAGGTAACATAGGAGTTATAGAACAAATTAAATGACACCCAAGGAAGCAAAGACAGAAATTTAGACTGTGGAATATTCTACAGGACAACTGATGGATGTTTAACAAGTCAATTGTATGGAGAGGGAAGAGGGGGGAGGAAGGAAAGAGGAAGAAAGAGAGGGAGTAGCTGTTTTAGATTAAAAGAAACATGCAGTCAAATGTAATGACACATGGACCTTGCTTGAATTCCATTTCAAACAATGAAGCTTAAAAAAACATTTTGGAGACAACAGGAGAAATGTGAATATGGACTGCATATTAGATGATATTATTAAGGAGTTATGTTCACTTTGTTAGATGCAATAGGGTGTTACAGTTATATAAGAATATGTCTTTTTTTAGAGATAATACAGGAATACTCAGCAGTATAATTATGACTGGAATTGACTTTAAAATTCTACTGGAACAACAGAAAGACAGAATATACAGATGAAGTAAAGTCTGGCAAAGTGTGAGTAATTGTTAAATCTGGGAGATGGATTATGTGGGATCATTGTACTCTTCTCTCTACTTCTGCGTATATTTGATATTTTCATAAGGAGTTAAAAAAGAAAAAAGGAATGAATGAAGATATAAATACCTCAAGAGGATATTATCAGAGTCAAGAGTTACAATAGTTGCTTCTGTAGCTTGTAGTGAAATTAGCTTGGCTAGAGCCTCTGATGTTTTGCCCTATAAATTAAAGAAAAAAATTTTAACAATGTTAAGGGGAAAAAGTGCAGGGTCTTACCTAAAATAAAGATATAATCTTTAACATTTACCCAAAAGACAGCTTTAGGAATATTAACTAGTTCAAATCAGAAAATGTTTCACTTTGAAAATATGAAGTACACAAAATATGAAATGCATTATTAGGTATAATTTATAAATAAATAATGTAAGTTAATAAGAAAAACATCAGGAACCCAATGGCTACATGGGCAAAGGACAGGAATAGGCAATTCATTTAAGAAGAAATATACCACATTTTGCCATGTATAATGCGCACCCATGTTTTTGGCCCAAACTCTCTGGAAAAAAAATTTTATGTTTTAATTTTTTAGCTGAGCCACCTTGCTACCTCTTGGCAGCTCAGCGGCAGCTCAGCTTGGGCCAGGAATTGAACCGGCGACCCTGTTGCTCAGAGCTCGCACTCTTGAATGAGCTCTTAAACCAACTGAGCCACTTGGCCAGCCCTTATGTTTTAATTTTTTAATTCAAATTTTATTTGTTTACATTTAGGTGCTTGTTTTTTGTATTATAAAGGGATTTTAGCATTTATTTTTTAACATATTATGGTACAAGAAATTTTATGTACCAGTAACAAATTTACAATATTTATGCATCATAGAAGGCCAAGAACTCTTCGTCACTGCAAGTTCATTGTAAATTCAATAAAACCGATTATAATATTCTAGGGTATTATTTTGCACACAGATATTGTTGCTGTTATTGATTTCTAGAGTTACACTTTTAACTCATAGGCATAAATAAAAGAATTTAAAACATTTATATAGATACAGATGAGTACTACTCATGTATAATGTGCATCCTTATTTTCCCTCACAAATTTGGGCAAAACATGGTAATACCCGTTATGTGAAAAAATGTTTATCCCAGCTATTAATGGAAGAAATGCAAACTAAAGCAATTGTATGATACCATTTCATGCTACTGACTTAGCCAGAATTTAGATAGGCGTCAATGCTGATGAAGTAGTAAAACTACTTCAGTAACATATCCTAGCTGGCAAAAATTGTTACAACTTGTAGCATGAGCCACAGAAAGATTTACATCTTTTAATCATATGCTTTGTAATTTATCCTAAGATACTAATTCAATAGAAATGACTATTAGACATAAATATGTTTAATGCAGGGTTATCTAATATTAAAAATTGGAAACAATTTAATTGAGAACAAAAACCAGAATGGTTTAGTAAATTACAGCACATTGATTTGACAGAATATTATTCAGAAATACCAGATAATTATGTATATCTAGACTGAAAAAAATGAAGCAAAAATCTTTACAGAGTATACATACCACCTGTACTCTGTAAGTGGTATGTATACTCTGTAAAATACAAAGGTATATAGAACAGGATTAGAAAATGATTTCCATTATAGCATGAAATTATGGGTGAATATTTTTCCATCATTTTAAATCTTGTGGTCACATCAATTTTTCCATTAATAATGTGATATAAATAAATAAAATAGTACTTCTCAAATGCCTCAACCTGAAACATGGATATATTGAACTATCTACAGTATTAATTCCATAAATTTAGTAAATCTAAAGGAATATTTAAAATATTGCCAAACAAAAATAAATACTTCTTTCAGTAAATGATTAACTATATAAATCAATATATTTTTCCAATAATTTGTCTAGAAAATATTATGGTCATTTATCCACCCAAGATTTTAACAAATGTCACCTTTTCTTACTTTACCTTTGCTATATGTTCCAGCCACCGGCCTAAAGCAATAAATACAAATAGCATGGGAGGCGTGTCAAAAAAAGTAACAGGGTTCACTGTGGCTCTCTCATACATTGCAACTAGAAGAATAACCAAAGAGTAGGCAAATGCAATGGTGGTGGCCAGCACAATTAGTACATCCATATTCGCAGTTTTATGCATCAGTGCTTTGTAGGCCTGAATGTAGAAGTACCAGCCTCCGAAGAACTGTAATATAGAAATAATAATCATTGCTTTTTAAAAAAATACTGAGATTTCCTTTGGCTTTGATCTAATTCATAAACACTAAGGAGAGATTTTAAGCTTAAACAGGTTAGTATTTTAGCACATATGTGTGTACAAGGATTCAAATTGCTGTATAAGCCCATGGCAGCTGTCCTCTATGATTCAATGGATAGTCCATAGTATAAATATAAAGTCAGATGGTTCTTAGATTTTTCTCTTTGATGCTAGCAAAAACAAGAAACTGGAAAAAACTACATTCTTTTGATAAGGATTTTTTATATAAAACTCATCTTGCTAAGTGAAATAAGTCAGACAGAGAATGACAAATACTACATGATTTCACTAATTTATGGAATCTAAAAACCAAAATAAACAAGCAAACAAAACAGAAAGACTCATAGGTACAAACTGATGGTAGCTAGGGGGAGAAGGATTGGGGGGCTAGGTGAAAAAGGTGAAGGAATTAAGAAGTATAAAATGGCAGTTACAAAATAGTCATGAGGATGTAAAGTACAACATAGGGAATATAGTCAATAATGTAATAATTATGTATGGTGTCAGGTGGGTTCTAGATTTACTGGAGTGGGGGAGGTGGGAACCCTTCATAAGTTATATAAATGTCCAACCACTATGCTGTACGCCTGATCTGAAACTAATATGATATTGAATGTCAAATGTAATTTTACAAAATAATAAAAACTTTAAAAACCTGCATCCCCCTCTTTCCAAAATTCAACCTAAGTGGTATATCACAAGCTATTGGATCTGTTGGCTGTTTTCGTTGGTAGACATAACTGGAAAGCTTATTTTTCATTAGTATAGAGAAACATACTAGGATTTAAAAATATATTATTGCCTTTTACAAGCGTCAGAAAAAGGAATAGATTTATTAGATGGAAGTGATCCATAGTAAAAGTTTATCTCAAAATAAGGGTTGACAATATACAGAAAGTAATGAATTTAGGTGCCAGGAAGAAATAATAAAAATAATAATATAATATAATTATTATTATAATTATTTTACTTTATATAATAAAATAATAAATAAATAAAATATATTTATAATATATTTAATATAATATGAATATAATTAATTAAAAATACTAAATAATATAAATATAATAATTTTAAACATAACATTACATACAAAGCAGATATGAATGCCAAATCATATCTTCAAATAAATATGAAGTAAACTCTCATTCTATGCTTTGTCATTAAACAACATCATTAGGGGTTAAGTGGAATTTGTTATCTACTTGAACCACTCAGTTTAAGATCATTTTTGTAAAGCATCCAGCATAAAATGATTGGACTTCTGGCTAATATCTGCTTTGCAATTGAAAATGTCTTGCCTGCCACATTTTAGCTATTTTTCATTATTAAAAAATATACTTGTTAACATTTCACTTGCCTGTACAGGTAAACACAATAAAAGGGATAGCAAATTCATAATGGACAATCCTGGCAGGATCTGGCGCTCCAGGAACATAGAAGAATGAATGTTGATCATTTCTTCTTGACTCATGTTCTGATTATGGTGAAGAGTTGCAAGGTGGTGGTCCATGACCATCATATATATCATCAGCCCCATTACAGGAATACAGAAAAACAAGCTCACGAGGAAGGACCGTCTCCATCTTATGTAGAAAAAAAATAATTTTAGTAAGTAACTAATGGTTAAAGAGTCTACGTACTATAGAGACATACAAGTTGTGACCACGCCACTGTGTATAAGGATTATATTGTAAAAACTGACATGCTAAGAGGATGTTAAATTTGTAACGAAGAGTCAAAATCTGTTTTTCACTGACACTCCAAAAATACTTACTGTCTTATTTCTCGTTTATGGTCTAGGTGGCTTGCTGACCGATCCTTCTTGACCAAAGAAGCTTCAAAACCTAAGCTCTAAAGTAAATTCATGAGAAGACAATTATTTCACTGAATGTATAAATACTATGTAGAGAAATTCTAAGCCATGTTATTGTCATTAAGAACAATTCAATTCAATTATTGAGTGCAAGTCACTCTGGGGAATATAAAGATGAAGATGTACTTCCTAGATGCAAAAATCCTCAACCAAATATTAGCAAACCATACTCAACAATACAGTAGAAGGGTTATACACTGTGATCAAGTGGGATTTATTCCTGGGAAGCAAGGACAGTTCAATACCCACAAATCAATCAACATGATACAACACATCAAAAATACCAAGCATACAAATCATATGATCATATCAATAGATGTAGAAAAAAACATTTGAGAAAATTCAACATCCATTCATGACTAAAACTCTCAGGAAAGTGGGTAGAGAGAAAACATACTTCAATATAATACAGGCTATATACAAACCCATACTCAATGGTGAAAAGCTGAAAGCTTTTCCTCTAAGATCAGGAAAAAGACAAGAATGCCCATTCACACCACCTTTATTCAACATAGTATTGGAAGTCCTAGCCACAGCAATGAGAAAAGAAAAAGAAATAAAAGGTACCCAAATTGGAAAGGAACAAGTAAAACTGTCACTATTTGCAAATGATATGATACTATATGAGGTTGGAAAATTAAGTTCACCAACTTGTTGCAACAATGTTGCTAACCTTTTTTTGATATCAGAGGGATTATTCATTATGAATTTGTACCAACTGAACAAACAGTTGAACCAAGTTTACATATGGTTGTGCTGAAAAGGCTGTGTAAAATAGTTAGACGACCTGAACTTTTTGCCAACCATTCATGGCTCTTGCATCACAACAATGCACCAGCTCACACGGCACTGTCTATGAGGGAATTTTTAGCCAGTAAACAAATCACTGTATTGGAACACCCTCCCTACTCATCTGATCTGGCCCCCAATGACTTCTTTCTTTACCCAAAGATAAAGGAAATATTGAAAGGAAGACATTTTGATGACATTCATCAAGGGTAATATGATGACAGCTCTGATGGCTATTCCAGAAAAAGAATTCCAAAATTGCTTTGAAGGGTGGACTAGGCACTGGCATCGGTGCATAGCTTCCCAAGGGGAGTACTTCGAAGGTGACCGTAGTGATATTCAGCAATGAGGTATGTAGCACTTTTTCTAGGATGATTTCACGAACTTAATTGTTTAACCTTGTATGTAGAAATACCTAAAGATTCCACCAAGAACTATTAGAACTAAGAAAGGAATTCAGTAAAGTTGCAGGATACAAAATTAGAATACAGAAATTTGTTGTGCTTGTATACACTAATAACAAACCCTCAGAAGGAGAAATTAAGAAAAAAATAACACAAGCAAAAATTTTCCTCAATGAAACAAATTTTTAAAAGAAAACCACACCCTAAGTAAGACTCACATAACCATAGACAGTAACACACTATATTTTCAATTGCTAAGGAAAATGCTGCCATCTAACATCTGTTAGCAGTGTAGTACAGTGAAAACAGCAGGCCTGAGCTTTGGAGTCTGAAAGAGTAGGCTCAAATTCCAGCTATCCTTACTAGCTGTTTGACTTTGGTCAATTAACTTCTCTTAACCTGAGTTTCCTCGCCTCCAAACTGAAGATAACCTCACTGTTGTAAGCATCAAATTAAGAGTTGAAGCATTGCAATGTTGGTTACTGATACATAGTAGATACTCCATAATTCTAGCTTCACAAAGATGTTAGTGGTATTATTATCTATACTAATAGGATCTTATCTGAACTATTAATATGCTTCACATCACAGGACACCAATGCTATACCACATTGAAACTTTTAAGGCACTTCCACATATACTACCACTTCAGATTTACTAAAGAACACAGGATGAATTTATCACAAAGGAGTTTAGTCTTTAGATTTCTTACTTTAATGTAAATTACTTGCTTTGACCTAACGAACAATAAAGCATCTAATAGGATGCTTCACTTTCTTAGGGATTAACATAAATCTTACTCATAACAAATTGTATTTTACTTCCATTTTCTAAATACAATGGTTTTACTTTAAGTCTGGTCCTGATTAATAATGCAATACTTGTATGTCTTTGCCTAACTTCCTGACAAATACCCCCATAAAAGGGCAGACAAATTTACATTAAATTTTGAGACAGATGCTGTCTAGAGTAACCAAAGGGGTCAGATTTTTTTCATTGTGTCTGATATAAACCACAAGCAAGTCAAAGGGGAGCTAACTGAATAGGCAAGAATGCAGCAATGCAAAGTCTTGGCACTTACTTCAATTATATGGATAATATCTCTGGGGCCAATAATTTCTGGATCATATTTAATATGTGCTTTGTTGGTTGCCAGGGCCACAGAACAGTAGAAGATCCCTCTGTGTTTTGTGAGGGTAGACTCTATTTTATGTACACAGGAGGCACACGTCATTCCTCTCACCTGTTAAAGACAAAGGCTTTGTTATTCAGAAATATACTTTTTCCTCCATTAAACATGAGTCATTACTTTAAACTAAAACAACACTTGTAACACGGGATTAACACACAAGATGTTATTTGTACTATTAATATGCTTTGGATATGACCACTAGAATGCTGCTTTCACATCACATTGAACAAAGATGGTTCAACTGCAACAGGATAAACAGAAGAGGATCTGATTAAAAGTCTCCCTCTTGCTGTCACTACTCATTGATAGAGGATTTGACAAATCATTATTTCTTGTGTTCAATGCCTTGCTTCCCTCGAGATTGTTTTCATCCTGCTAAAGTATATAGACTTAAGTATTACTTTTAGTAAAGGTTAGTGAGTGATAAAAGTGTTCTACCTTTGTTTAACAATGTATTGTGCCCTATGTGGTGAGTGAGGTTATAGCTCGTTTGGGTATTCACTTCTAAAGTGGAGGGGCGCAAGACTTCTGAAATGACTGTATGAGGAGCTCGGCAAATTCTTTCCCCAAAAAGCAATGCGAAAACTGGGCAAAATGTCAATATCAACCACTGAAAGACTTGGGGAAGTGACCAAAGAGTATACAAAAAATTATGAAACATTTATTCAAGAATATCTACTGTAGGGATATCAGTAATGGTAGAGGAAGAATCTGTGAGAATTCTCTCCTCCATGAAAGCAATGAGAAAACTGGCAAAAAAAATTTCAGGACCAACTTTTTTCAGAAATTTGGAGCTTAAACAAAAAGCTTATAGCAATCCAGGAAGCGTTTATTCAAGAAAATCAGTTGAATCCCAATAAAAACAGTAAGCTACATGGCATCATAACTTGCCTTATTTCCATCCCCTCCCCTTGAGCTCTGTGGTAGCCATGGATGACCAGCAGCCCACACTCACAGAAACAGCATCAGGGAAGCCACCAGACAGGGCAGAAAAGGGTTGCAGCTCCTTCAAAGCCTCATTCTCAGAGAACTGTTATTATTTGACCTGAAATATTCCACTTGCAAAGATGTCTGTGTTTGCCCTGACTGGAGCTCAATGAGTGCAAAAAGCTTTTTCTCCCTGGGAGAATTTGTCAATTAGAGGCAATTATTTAACCTATGGCTGCCTGGGCCAATAGATAACAGTTGGAGCAAACAATAGGCTAATCAAAAAGCCTAAGGGCCGGCCGAGTGGCTCAGTTGGTTAAGAGCTCGCTCAAGGGTTTGAGCTCTAAGCAACAGCGGTTTGAGTCCTGCCCAAGCTGAGCTGCCGCAGAGCTGCCAACAGGTGGCAGGATGGCTCAGCTAAAACAAACAAACAAACAAACAAACAAACAAACAAAAAGCCTAAAAGAAAAAGCTGGTAAGTGAACTGTCCATAAAAGCTCCAACATATTCCTAGGAATCTAGAAGGCCATGCACATATATAGGGTTGTGCACATGTCCAAGTTTGTGTGAATTCTCAGAAGAGACCATCTAACCTCTCACCTCAGGCTGACCTTTAGGCTCTGTAGAAGCAGGAAGTGAAGGCTAAGGCAAAATTGTGAACTGCTGAGTATTGAAGGCATGCTCCAACATTCACACAGAGTTCCTCAGCAAAGACCGGGAGACTTATTGGTTTCAGGTATTAAGAAAATCTGTCCAAGCATTAGGTGACCACTGAGCTAATGAAACAGAGCCTTCAGTGGCCACATACAACAAAGAATACAGACTTTATGGTATTAGTTCAGAAAAATCACTAAACAAACAATAACAATGACAAACAGCAACAACAGCAAACCCTGAGGAGAGGGGTAATACCATAGTTGTCACATTATATTTTCAACAACAACAAAAAACTGTGAGACCATGCAATGCAACAAGTATGGTCCAGACGCAGCAAAAAAGCAATCAATAGAAACCGTCTCTGAGGAAGCCCAGACACTAGACTTACTAGACAAAGATGGTATGTCAACTATTTTAAATATTAAAAGAAAACATGTCTAAAAAATTAAAAGAAAGCATGAGAATATTTCACCAATAAAGGATATCAATAAGAGACAGATATAATTAAAAAGGCCCAATGGAAAGTCTGGAATTGAAAAGTAGAACAACTGAAATGAAAGCAGTACCTAGAAGGAAATTTCTAGTTGTAAATGCCAATATTAAAAAGTAATACAGATCTCAAATAAGCAACCCAACCCTCCACATTAAGACAATAGAAAAAGAAGAACAAACTAAACCTAAAGCAAGTAGAATGAAGGAAATAAAGATCAGTGTGAAAAGTAATAAAAGGGAGGACAGAGAAAATCAGCAAAACCAAAAGTTCAACAAAATTGACAAACTTTCTGTAGATGTCTGACCACTGCGTTGTACACCTGAAGCTGAATAATATTGAATGCCAACTATAATTAAATACATATATCTCTCTCTATATATAAATATCTATCAATTGATCAATCGATAGATAGATAGATATAGCCACAAGATATGGAGTACAGCATAGGGAATATAATAAATTGAATTGTAATAGCTATAAAGGATATCAGAGCGGTAGTAGATTGGGGGAGGGGGTTATCACTTTGTGAGGGGTGTAAATGTCTAACCTATTACATTGTTTTGTACACTTGGAACTAATAAAACAATAAATAATAAAAATAATTTACAAATAGAGAAAAAAAATTGACAAATTTTTGTCTAGACTGACCAAGGGAAAAAAGTAGGAAGACTCAAATGATTAATATCAAGAATGCAGAGTGACTGCTAATAGGTATGGGGTTTATTTTGGGGGTGCTAAAAATGTTTTGCAATTAACTAGTGGTAATAGTTGCACAACTCTAAGGATATACTAAAAACCATTGAATTGTACACTTCAAAAGAGGTAGTTTTATGATATGTGAATTATATTTCAATAAAGCTATTACATTTTTAAAGTCTTTAAAAAATAAGAATCTAGCCATTCTTTTTAATAGCTGCTTAGTATCCCACAGTATGAATGCAACATAATTCACCAAGTCTTCAATAACTGACATTTAGGCTTTTTTCCTATATTTTGGTATTATAAACAATAATATAATGAACATCTTCGAACATGTAATTTCATACATATGCAAATATGCCTGTTGGATAAGCTCCTACAAGTGGAACTTCTGAGGCAAAGGCTATGCACAATTTTACTTTTGATAGATATTGCCAAATTCCCCTGTTGAGAGCTTGTATCAATTGACACTGCAAGAGCAATATATAAGAGATCACAAACACAATGTTAACAAAATTCTTTATCTTTGCCAATCTAATACGTGAAAAAGGGCATTTTAGTGCAGTTTAAAATTTGCTTTACTCTTATTACAAAGTGAGGTTGAACATCTTTTCATGTTTAAAGTGGTACTGTTTTAGTTTTTCTATGAACTGTCAGTTCATATGCTTTAACATCTTTCTTTTGGGTTGCTGGCTATTATTGATTTATAACAGTTCTTCATATATTAGAAAATTAACTTTCATCTGTGATATAAATTACAATTATTTTACTTGCCTTTTGACTTTGTTTATGGTGCTTTTTTCCCAAGAAGAAATTTTATGTACCTGAATTTATCAATCTTTTCATTTATGGGTTTTATATGATATTTAGAAAGGCCCTTCCTACTCTAATATTATTTTTTTCAATAATAAATTAGGTGTTAATCACTGGGGAAACCTGGGTAGAGGCTACATGGAAATTTTCTGTACTGTTTTTGCAACTTATTTGTGAGTCTAAAATTATTTCCACAATGGACTGATAAACTTATGTATAAAACAAATACAGTAAAATGTTAATTGTAGAATCTAGGTGGTGTGCATAAGGGTATACACTGTATAATTTTTTTAACTTTTCTGATGTCTGAAATTTTTATATTTTTTACAACTCCAAATATTTCTTCTAGTAATTTCATCGTTTCATTTTTCATATTTAAATTTTTGTTTGAGCTGGAATATATTTTGTTACAGGGTTAAGTTTTTCATATTTTAAAAAATGATATGAATAAGTTCATTTTCATTTGGGGCAGCCGGTTAGCTCAGCTGGTTAGAGTGCAGTGCTCGTAACACCAAGGTTGCTGGTTCGATCCCCACATGGGCCACTGAGTTGCGCCCTCCACAACTAGAATGAAACAACTACTTGACTTGGAGCTGATGGGTCCTGGAAAAACACACTGTTCCCCTTCCCCCACCAAATAAAAAACCTTTTTCATTTTCTTTGACACCTGCTGAACTGTGGAGCCAGGCTCCGTCGGTAGGGCTGTGTGGTGCCTTGTATCTGTCTGCCTCCTGATGTTCTGTTTACCATGAGCCAGAAGGCTCAGCTTCTCAAGAAGCTAAAGGTATGTTTAGAAGGGTATGTTCCCAGGATGAGAGAGGTTTGGAGCCCAGGCTGATGACATCAAATACACTGAATTTATCTCTTGGTCCATTCTGTTCTGGCTTCAGAGAAATAAGACAGTTGCTAGTGAGATTGGTGCCATTTGGTGTAATTTCTGTACCTTGAATTCCCTCATCTCAGAGATTTTGTTCCTGGTCTGGTTTCTGTGCTAAGAGCTCATAAAGTTCTCTTTTTTTCTGGACATGGAATCTAGATCTTCGATTTTGAAACCAAATTTGGACTCTTGACTCTGGAACCCCAATTTTCTTAGAAAGTTGCTCTATGGAATCAATCCCAGGATAAGGATTGTTTGTAAATGCTGTGATGAGGGTGTATAACTGGGAGGAAGTGTAGCTGGTACAACACCATCTATCTTCTCTAACATGAATCTTCTCTTCAGAGTGATCTTGGTCTCGGCTTGCTTCTAAGTCCTTCTCAGGTTCTGCTCTTTTCTGAACTCGGTGTCTAGCTCTTCGATTCTGAAACCAAATCTGGATTCTAGACACTTCAGTGTCGATTTCCAAAGCAAGATTTTGTTTGGTAGCATAACCTGGGTAAGGTTTTTGATTGAATGCTTTCATGAGGATTTTCAACTGGTCTTCTGTGAATTTGGTGTGGCTTCATCTATGATTCCTGTGGTCTTGTTTGGAGAGTTGTTTGGGGCCATGTTAGAATAGAGTTCTGAAGCTTTCAACTGGGCTAAATTTTTCATCTTAATTGTTTAAATTATACAAATAAAATTTAATTTGCTGGGTTGGAGAAAATGATCATTTGAAATCAATATGCTGCATCACTTCTTGGCCTTCCTGCTAAGATCAAGTATAAACCAATATGCTTTTCACCTGGTTTTATGACTTCATTTATAAAACTTAAGTCTTTAATGCATCTGGAATTTATTCTTTTACATGCTACTAGGCAGGAATCGTATTATATTTTTAAAAGTTGATTTTTCATTTATTCAGTCACACCTAATTTTGCTTTTTTTATTCTTAATAGAGATACGATGATTATCTTTTACATTCCATGCTTGAAGGCCACCATTAAGTCATTATCTTATCTTTCCATTTTCCAGTTTCCTTAACTTTCCCTTTACATCTTATTTTCTCAACCTTTAATTATTCTTGGAACTCTTTTCTGAATCCTCATTAAGTTTTTCCTGGAAATTTTATTAATTACACAAAAATTCTTACTTACAACAAGTTCCAAAACACCATCCCCTTCATCGGCATTTTCTATCACAGTGGTTCCAAATCCAAGCTCTCGGATGAACTCGGCTATTATCGGGGGTTGTACAACAGCAGGATTATATCTTACTTCTGCCTTGCCAGCCATCAGAGCCACAAGTACAGAATATATTCCTAGGAGCATTAATAAGAAAGACAATTAAGATAACACTCCTTATAAAAAGAGTGATGTTATAACAGTTTTACTATTTTTTTCATTTAACTGTGAAAGGAATAAAGTGAATCTAGAGAAATTTATTACTTAACTTTTCTATAGTCTTGAACACAAACCAAATAAAACTATTTGAAAATGGGGCCTTAGGTTTTTAAACATTTTATTATGGAAATTTTCAATTATATGTATATATATATATATATANTATATATATATATATATATATATATAAATGAGAAGAACATAATAAACTTGATGTACTAGATCACCCAGCTTAAACAATTATCAATAATACCTGGTCAAACTCGTTTCATCAATATTCCTGCCCACTGACTCCCTGCCCTCTACCTTAATTATTTTGAAGCAAATCCCAGGTACCATATCATTTCATTATGTAAATATTTAAATATGTATATCTAAAAGATAATGACACTTGTCTTTAAAAAAATAATACCATTATCATACCTAAAATAATTCTTCAATATCATCAAATATCCAGACAATATTCACATTTCTGCAATTGCTCTATAACTTTTTATTAATTTAAGTTTGTTTGAATTGGGATCCAACTAAGACCCATAAATTGCAATCAGCTGAAGCCATATCATGTAAATATAAAACATTTTTAGAAACTAATACGACAGAGTCCTAGAGAAAGAAACTCATGCACTTAGGAAATCAATGCAGTTGTAGCAAATAATCCAAGAATGTACCAACATACTCATTACAATATTATCAAATAATAGTAATTTATTAAAATTCTCAAGTTTTACTGTCAGGCACACACTGATCTACAATGCTCTTATTCCTAGAATAAAAAATTGCCACAGAACTTGTTAACAGAACAAAGGAGTTCATTTTATAGTAGTCATGCTGTTCTCTAGGGCAAGCCTTTTGTTAACAACCAACCTACTTCTCTAGCCAGCTATTGCTGTCCTTGCCAGGAAGAAAATTAATTCCACACAGCAGAACTGGTAGCTCATTCTAGGAATCTGTGGCATTTGGTAGCTACCTGACAGGGAATAGGGATCAATAATCCTTATGTCAGCTCTGGGGTTTGATAAAATGAAAAAAAATCAAATATTAATTTACTAATACTTTTTAATAAGACAACAAAGAATCTAATGTAATCTAGTTTTCTACATAAAGTGCTTCTCTGGGCTTTGTGGGTACCAAACAATTCAGAGGATTGGTTTAGAGAAAAGTGTCAGTAATATGAGACACGTTATAGATAAAGTAGGAAAAAACTCATTTTGCTTCAGTTGAATGTAATCAATAGTCAAACAGAAATAGAAGGAAAACACTGATTTTTCAAGTTTCAAAAACAGGATTCATACGAGGTGTGATCAACAAATATGGTGAATGCTTAAATTAAAAAATATATATTACAGTAAAAGACACACTGCCATGAATTCCCCTCAAAATACTGCCCCTCTCTTCGAACACACTTATCCCTTCGTTCTTGCCACTTTCTGAGGCAGTTCTGGACGTCCTCTTTTGTGAGTGTCTTTAGCTGCACTGTTGTGGCTGCCTCAATGTCTTAATCAATTCAAAACCTTTACCTTTCGTGGTCATTTTGACTTTGGGGAAGAGCCAGAAGTCACGTGGTGTCAGTTCCAGTGAATAAGGTGGATGAGGACACACTGTAATGTTTTTATTTGACAGAAATTGCCATACCAGAAGTGATGTGTGACATGGAGCCTTTCCATCATAATAAAAAAATATGAATGCTGCTACCAAGTGCCATCCAATGGAAAGGCAGAGATCTTCAATACAGGAAGCGGCACATCGAACCTTAGTAACAGTGCGTGACAAGTTTCAACTTCTTCAGTGCAGTCAGTCGGATGAGAGTTAGGAGAGAAGATGTGTTTTAAAGTGTGCCATAATTCATCCTCCATCATCATAATACTCCGTGTCACACATCACTTCTGGTATGGCAATTTCTGTGAAATAAAAACATTATGGTGTGTCCTCATCCACCTTATTCACAGGATCTGGCACCATGCAAGTTCTGGCTATGCCCCAAAGTAAAAATTATTCAGGACATCAAGGCAGACACAACAGCACAACTAAGACACTCACAAAAGAGGACTTCCAGAACTGCTTCAGAAAGTGGCAAGAATGGTGGGATAAATGTGTTAGAAGTGAGAGGGAGTATTTTTCTTTTAAGATTTTATTGGGGAATTGGGGGAAGGGTACAGTGTTGGGGAATTGGGGAAGGGGAACAGCCAAGTTGTTGTCCTTCAAACTTAGTTGTGGAGGGCGCAGCAAGCTCAGCTCCAAGTCCAGTTACACCGCTCAGCTCAAGGTGCCATGTTCAATTAGTTGCGCGTGGGTGTAGCCACCATCCCATGTGGGAGTCGAACTGGCAGCCTTGTTAAGAGTGCATGCTCTATCCCCTGAGCCACCTGGGCATCAGCTTAGCTCAACGTGTCAAGTTCAGTCTTTAGTTGTGGGTGGGCATAGCCCACCATCTCAAACAGGCAATCTTGTTGTTAGGAGCACGTGCTCTCACCAGCTGAGCCATCCTGCCATCTGTTGGCAGCTCAGCGGTAGCTCACCTCCAGCGCAGCTCACTGGCCCATGTAGGAATCAAACTGGCGACCCTGTTGCTCAGAGCTCACACTCTTGAGCAAGGTCTTAACCAACTGAGCCACTCGGCCAGCCCGAAAGGGAGTATTTTGAGGGGGATTAATGGCAATGTGCCTTTTACTGTAATAATTTTTTATTTAAACATTCTCCGTATCTTTTGATGACACCTCATATGTATATAAATTATGGATAATTTTTTAAATTCTTACTTCAAACTATAATTAGAACTCTTTCTATTCATTTTAAGAAATAGAATGCAGTCTAAACTGGGGGGAGACCAGTGTTATTTAGTTAAAAAATAAGTGAATGCAGTGGCCTAGCTGGGACAGAATATAGACAAGATAATATTGAACTGCAGATGGCTCTGTGTAACATGCATTTTGTTATAATAATGTTTCCACCTTTATATATACAGCAATTCTACTGGCCACAGGCCTGCATTATTACTACATATACTTTGAGTTGTTTCCCTAATAGTGGGGATAATCTTATATTAATCTTACATATTTGGCCCTTGTAACTAACAGCATGTGAACACACAATGCAATATACTGATGACGTATTATAGAACTGCACACTTGAAACCTATATAATTTTATTAACCAGTGTCACCCCAATAAAGTTAATTTACAAATATCAGTGTGATGAAAGCCAAACAAAAATAAAAACAAAAAAACACCTGGGGCTAGGGCTGCCTAAGTACCAAACTTATTATTTCAGTCCTATTAAACATAATTACATATCTCTATGGTTAACAAATCTACTGTCATACTGTGAAGTCTAGTAACATGACTGCAAATTTATAAGCTAAAACATCTGAGTGTGACTGAATAAAAAAAATGTTGTAGAGTATCTAGGATTTTATAACCTGAAATTAAAACTTGTACACAAAATTAAGTAACTTATGAAATTTTTTACTACAACTAAAGATCAGTGATCAAACTGTTGGAAGCAAACAATACAATTCTAAATAAACTTGTTTTTGGTTTCATGCTTTGCCTGGGTATAGTAATACTGAAACTTAAGGATTTTAATTGTTTGTTTTTCACATAACTTTATCAGGAAATGTATGTTTCTTAAAATCCATTGCAGCCAAGGTCCATAAAGAATAGTAATCTTATGTATTTCCTTCTGCTATTTTCCTACAAATTCAATTGATATTAAAATGTGACTGGGCCGGCCAAGTGAAGCATTGGTTAAGAGCTGGCTTGGGACGCCAGCTCTGGGCAGCAGGGCCCCGGTTCGGATCCCACATATGAGGGCCAGTGACACTGCCCTCTACAGCTAAGATGGTGAGCAGCAGCTCGACCTGGAGCTGGGCTGCCATGAGTCGCCGGCGATGGCGTAGGCTGCAGCTCCTGTTGCAATGGGCTGCCATAAGCTACCGCCTGTGGCTGACAGCCAACGTGAGTGGCCGGCAGCCGCTGTGAGCGGCCGTCCAGAGGTTGGCGACCGATCTGCCTTATCCGGGAAGAGCGCAATGACAATACCAACATGGGCCAGTGAAGCGACGTCCTCCACAACTAGACTGAAGAACAAAAAGGACAGCAACTTGTCTGTTCCCCTCCCCCAATTCCCCAATGAAAAAAATATTTTCAATAAATAAATAAATAAATAAATGAATAAATAAAATGTGACCATGAGGCAAACACGATAGGAACTATTGGGTTGTCGGGAAAGTCATGACGCATTTTTGCATTGAAAAACATAGAAAAAATATGTCATGATTTTCCCGACTACCAAATAAATCTAAGGGAACAAAATACTAACAAAAACTGGCTGTCAGAAAATCAATGTTGTCCTGCACATCACTGACAGTCTTTATGAGGCCTTGGTAAGGATCATAAATGTGGTAACAAAGCACACAGGAGGACAAAAAGGACAGGGTCCTCAAACTAGAACCTAAAACAACAGGCTTTAAGAGTCTCACCTTCTTCTCGTCTTAAATTCCGTTCAATGTTTGCTACACAGGAAGCACAAGTCATACCAGTGACCTGTATGTAACACTTAGATGAAGTCTTTGCCTCCTCCTTGTCATCAATTGGTATCATCATTTTAGGATAAAATTCATTAGTTGAGGTCAAAAGTGGCATTTCAGATGAGGGCTGAGCTATTACTACCAATGGTTCATTTGTATCTGGTGAACAGGAAAAGAGTTTTATCATTTGAGGTATTCTCCAGCTGCATCCTTGTCATTCATCACAATCCACTCCTTTAGGCACTTACAATCCATTCCTTTAAAACCAGCATGGACCTAGAGCCCTCAGCAATGTTATCTTTGCACTTTCTAGGAAGTGACTTCCAATCTCAATGTTGACCATCCCAGTTCGGAGGAAAATCAGAACTGAATAAACAAAACTTTGGTTATAGCAAGTTCTTCCAGCCATTATTTCCACCCCAAACCCTAGGTAGAGAGTAGTTTCTTAATGGATAGCTCTTATTTTTATAACAAATTTTTATCATCATGGTAACAATTTACATACTGGCATTAAACCAATTTGTGACACAGTAAGTGAAACAAAAAACAATTTACAAAACAGCACTGCAGTATAATGCTAGTTAAAAAGAATTTGAGTGTATGTATATACGAAAACATGCATACGAAAGCCTGGGAGGCTACCAGCCAAGCTATGAATGGTGGCTACTTCTCGGGAATGTGGTTAGAGCAGGAACAGAATGACAAATTAACGAATTTCCTCTATAGACACTTCTGTACTGTTTGAATTTTTAACACTAATATATAGTGCTTTTAAAATTAAATTTTTTGTGGACAGTGGGAGAAGAAGCAAGGAGGAGTAAGTCAACAGCAATCGTCATTTTGCACAAAGGAGTATTTGGAGAATCTGTCCATAGAATGTTTATGGACTGTGGAACAGTGGGAAGTACCTATCATCCCAATAGCTCCCTTGCAGTCTCAGAAAATCTGCCATTCTGTTTTAGTTTAGCCAGTATTTAGTTTATTCCAGTATTAATCACCTCCGAGGAATGAACAAATTATTATCTCTAGCATATCCATGCACCTGCAAAAAAAGCTAAAGATTTTTTTACTCTCCTGTAGAGACAAGGAGGAAAATAAGTGATGTGGGAGTTTCTACTAATTTGGACAGCCCACAGAGGAAGCCCTACATAGCCAAGTTGGTTTTCAGGATGTTAAAGAAAGACATCTTTGAAGAAACTTTAACATAAGCCTGGCATTTCATTAATTAATAATGATATACACTCCTCAAATCAGTATAATAACAGCTCTAAAATTTTAATACACATACAGTCACCTGGGGGATCTTGTTAAAATACAGATACTAATTTAGTACATGTAGGGTGGGGCCTGAGATTGCTTTTTCACTAAGCTCCCAGGTAATGGCAGTACTGCCTGTGTGGGTATAGCAAAGGTCACTGAATAGTAAAGGACTAGATTCGCCCAATTCCGAAATTATTCAGTCTCTGCTCTTGAGTGAATCACTTTAGAAAACTATATTTATTCACTCAAATTACAAGAGCATTATTTAGAACATAAAGGTCAAAATTTACCACATAGTACCAATATGTTAAAGAACTCAAAAAGCAGGCTCATTTGCCCAAAGGAAATAGCTTTGGCTTTGAAAAGCAAAACCACTATTTTAATCTAGCCAAGGTCATACTTCATTCTCTCATAATTACTATCAAGACTTAATTTTGAACTTGGATAATGAAAAAAAACAAAGTTTATACTGAAAATTACTTTAGGTCTTGTTCCAGAATAAGTTATTTCAGAGGTAACCCAGAATACCATCTGTAATTTTCACATTCTAGAAGTACAGTATTAAATTAAGCCACAGAGGTAGTCCCTTTTGGTTACCTTAACATGACATCTCAACAAAGATCCCTAAAAAAATGACCTTTACCCCAGTGAGTGTGGCAAGCAGAAGAGCAAAAGCTGCCATCTTCCACAGAGGCAGTGCATTGCATGTGTTAAAATGCCACAATAAATTAAATGGGTATAGTTTCTTTAAATTAGCATTTCTATAGCCTTTAGCAACACTACTTATGCCTAAATGAATTCAAAAGGATGGTTAACTTTCCTGGACTTGAGGCACAAATCAGAAAAGATTCCAAAAATTTCAAGAAAGGATTTCCAAACTGATCCTCAAAATTGATCGAGTCAGTGTCTGAAGTAATGTGAAGAATAAATACATAATTAGAAAATGGCTTAAAGAGATACAGTGAGCTAGAGCAAGACTGACGGGGAGAGCAAAGATATGGAGCACTGCCCTGTGCTCCCTGAGAGTATGTCCTAGGCCTCTAGGCCCGTGTCAAACTTGAGCCCGCTCTTCATGCTGAAGCTCAAGATCAAGCAAACAGGCCTTTTTCCCCAGAAAGAATGGGTCTGTGTCAGTCCACTGTTTGAGCAGTGGGCGGAGATGCAGAATGGCTTGGTCCCACACTCACTCATGCATGGCAGTTAAAATGGGGAGGGATATCTTGGCAGGGCCCAGGCAGCAGCTGACCTTGGCCTGCACCTAAGCACCTCCAAAGAGGCCCCAGAACCAACACACCCGGTGGCCAGCTTCAGACCACTCTAGAGCACCACCTAACCACCTCCACAAAAGACATACCCAAAGGGCAGACTGAGAAAGCACCAGAGTTAAAGTGAACCCTGCTTTGTAAGGTCAGCTTCTGTACAACAGTTCCTCCACTGTAGTCTTGGCCAGTCCTCACAAGCAATCCGCCTAAGTGTCAATCCCTCCCACCAACACGTAAACAGCAACCAAGGCTCAACTACAACAGGAGGGCACACACAACCCACACAAGGGACACACTTGGAGCACCCAGCTCAGGTGACCAGGGAGACTGTGCCACTGGACCCCACAGGATACCTATTATATAAGGCCTCTCTACAAAGCCTGGGAGACATAGCAGCTCTACCTAATACATAGAAACAAACACAGGGAGGCAGCCAAAATGAGGAGACAAAGAAAACATATCCTAAATGAAAGATCAAAACAAAGCTGCAGAAAAAGAACTAAACAAAATGGAGACGAGCAATCTACCAGATGCAGAATTCAAAACACTGGTTTTAAGGAAGCATAAGATCTCAGGAAGAACTTCAACAAAGAGATAGGAAACATTAAAATGGAGATAGAAAACATAAAAAAAGAACCAGTCAGAAATTAAGAATACAATAACAGAAATGAAGAATACATTAGAGGAAATCAACAGATTAGAAGCAGAGGTTCGAATCAGTGATTTAGAAGGTAAGGTAGCAGAAAACACCCAATCAAAACAGAAAAAAGAAAAAAATAATCCAAAAAAATGAGGACAGTTTCAGGGGCGTCTGGGACAACATCAAGCATATCAACATTCATATCATCATCAAGGGGTACCAGAAGGAGAAGACAAAGAGCAAGGAATTGAAAACCTATTTGAAGAAATAATGACGGAAAACTTCCTTAACCTGGCAAAGTATTATAAATAGATATGCAAGCCCAGAAATCACAGAGTCCCAAACAAGATGAACCCAAAGAGGTCCACACCAAGACACATCATAATTAAAATTACAGAGGTTAAACACAAAGATAGAATCTTAAAAGCAGCAAGAGAAAAGCAGTTACGTAGCTACAAGGGAACTCCCATAAGGCTGTCAGCTGATTTCTCAACAGAAACTTTGCAGGCCAGAAAGGATTGGCAGGAAATATTCGAAGTGAAAAAAGCAAGGACCTACAACTAAGATTACTTTACCCAGCAAAGCTATCATTTATAATTGAAGGACAGATAAAGAGCTTCCCAGAAAAGAAAAAGCTAAAGGACTTCATCACCACCAAATGAGCATTACAAGAAATGTTAAAGGGACTTCTTTAGGAAGAAAAAGATAAAAAAAATATATGAAAAATAAAATGACAATAACTATATATTTATCAACAATTATTTTAAATGTAAATGGATTAAATGCTCTAATCAAAAGACAAAGAGTGGCTGAATGGATACAAAAACAAGACCCATGCATATGCTGTCTACAAGAGACTCACTTTAGATCAAAAGAAACACACAGACTGAAAGTAAAGGGATGGATAAAGGTATTTCATGAAAATGGATACAAACAAACATAAGAAGCTGGGGTAGCAATACTTAACAAATATACTTTAAAACAAAGGCTGTAACAAGAGACAAACAAGGATCCAGTAGAACCACTTTTGGGTATTTATCTGAAGAAACCCAAAATGCTACTTTGAGGGGACATATGCATCCATATGTTCATTGCAGCATTATTTACAGTAGCCAAGATGTGGAGGCAGCCTGGGTGTCCGTTAATGGGTGAATGGATAAAGAGGAGGTGGTACATATGTACAATGGAATATTCCTCGGCCATGGACATGAATGGGTTCTTGATATCTGCAGCAGCATGATGAACCTGGAGGGTATTGTGCTGAGTGGAGTATGTCAGACAGAGAAAGACAGATGACATGTGATTTTGTTTATATGTTGAATCTAAATCACAAAATAAACAACCAAACAAAAGAGAAATAAACTCATAGATACGGAGAACATTTTGATGGCTGCCAGATGGGAGGGATTTGAGGGGATGGGTGAAAAGGGTAAAGGGATTAAGAAGTACAAATTGGTTGCTTTAAAGTAGTCATGGCGATGTAGGGTATTGCATAAGGATTATAGTTGATAATACTGTAATAAGTATGTATGGTGTCAGATGCATACTAGATTTGTCGGGGTGATAGATGGGAGGGGGTTGGTGGGCAGCGTGAAAAGGGAGAAAGGATTAATACAAATTGGTAGTTACAAATAGTCATGGGGATGTAAAGTAAAGCATAAAAATATAGTCAATGATATGGTAATAACTATGTATAGTGCCAGGTGGGTACTAGACTAGTCAGGGGGATCACTTCTTAAATTATATAAATGTCTCACCACTATGCTATACACCTGAAATTAATATAAAATAATATTGAATGTCTACCATAATAATTTGAGCATGTGTTTATATAATTTTTATGCTTTTCAGTTTTAGTGAGCTTGTAAAGTGTATATTATTATTTGATATTCTTTACTATGATCAGAAGAACAAAGGTTAATGATGACATTGTCTGGAAATTAGTTGTACTATTTTTCCATTGTTATTTACAGCAAGAAATTTCATTAGGGCATTCCCAGTTTAATTCAAGACTTCATTCAATTCCAGTTCAAAATGGCAAGTTTACATAGGCAAATTCTATTGGTTTCAGTTCAAGGTAAGAGCTTTCAGGAAATAGGAAGAATTTGGGCCATTTCTAGAGTCAGTTTAACCTTGAATGCCTAAATTTAAAACTACAGTTAAAATTCTATGATTTATTTCTACCTTTTTATTTCTTTTTAAAAAAACATTTGCTTCTCTCCTTACATATACATAACTACATACTACATACACAAAAAAAACTTAAAATACATAGGAAAGTACATTGGAAATGTATCACCATTATCCTACCATTCACAAATAACCATTATTAAAATTTTAGTTCATGTGCTACCAAGAATTTTATCCATTCATATACATAAGTAACATACACATGGCATAAATCTTTATACATGTGTTTATAAAATTTTGATAATAACTTTATAGCTTTTTACATTTTAAATTAACAAAATATTTCAGACACTCTCCTGTGGCATTAAGTATCTTTAATACCATAATTTTTATGGCTTTATAACAATTTCATCACATGATGTATCATGATTTATTTAATGTTTCTAAATAATTATGCAAACATCCTTATACACCTTTGTATACATCACTGACTACTTCCTTAGGACTTATTTCCAAAAAGTGGAATTACAGTGCCTATTACTCATTTCTCATTGATAAAAGCCAAAAGAATCAGCAAAATGGAGATAAAAGAACATAGAGGAATCCAAGAAAAAAGTGATGATTACCTGACAAGGTAGCATCAAATCCCATGTCTTCTATTGATTCTCTCAAAGTTTCTGGAGAGGTTAGTAGAGGATCATACTCAACAGTTCCATTACCATTTGCAAGGGATACTCGTATGGATTTTACACCTGCCTTTTTTGATATGACACCCTCAATCGACTGAACACAAGAATTACACGTCATGCCATCGATGTTTATCACGGTTTCTTGAGTCAGAGGCTGACTGACTATGTTCAAAGGAATCTTTTGAAGAGATGAGCTGGAGGGAGAGTTTGAGGTACTCTCAACTTCACTTGTAATACTAACTCTATATTGCCCTGGTGGTAGGGCCTCTATTGCTTTTTTCAGGGTTTCTGGAGAGACTAAGCTTGAATTGTACTTTACTATAGCAGATTTATTCTCTAAAGAAACTACTGCACTGCTTACATATTGGAGTGTAGATAAAGCACTTTCAATATTTGACACACATGATTTACAATGCATGCCATCTATGATGAAAGTGACTGTGGAATCATTGGTATATGACGGACTCCTTTGCTGTGACCCTTCTGAGGATTTGACTGATGTGTTCTTCAGACGTTCTATATCAATCACTCCCAATTTGAGGTACTTAGGCTGTTTTTTGATGAATGCTGGGAAGCCCACAGCTTCAATCTGCTTTTTTATTTCCTCTACTGTGATAAGATGAGGTTGATAAACAATAGTAGCTTCTTGGTTGTCCAGGGAGACTAATTAATAAAAAGAAAGAGAATTACTTCAGTTATTCCTGGGTCACCTTAGAAAACATTCTGTAGACTAAATCAATACCACACACAACTGTTTCTCTCTCATCATTGTCATTATCCTTTCTAAAACTATTTCTGTTCTTTTCAGAAAATCTTAATGACATAGACTGGAAAAAAGAAAAAGATACCTCTTTTTCTGCATGCCTGAATAGAAATATAGTAGAGGTAAAGAAGACACCACACTAAAGAAGGCATGCTGTATTGAAGACCCTGAACTCCATGAATCGCCACCCCAGCTGCCTTCTCTGCTAGTTCAAGACTCGTGTAACTTTTAATTATACTCATTAATTTTACTGACATTAATTCTGGGAATATACTGTACCTCAGACTTCATTAAGCAATAAGCATTCTAGACCCACATATTCAAAACCCATGCTTAAGAAGAAAGCAAAAAGTTAAAACCCAAACAGAAAACTAAGCCTTACCAAACAATCAAACAAATAACAGCAGATATACTACCTTTAATTCGCTGAACACCTTGCAGTTTCCCAATTTTTCCTTCAATGGTGCTAGTGCATGAATGGCAGGTCATTCCTTCCACTTTCATCTTCAGCATGACTTCACCTGCTTGAGCCATACTGTAATCTTCGCAAGTTCCTGACTTTTTCTCCAGAGCTCCAGTATCTAAACTGAGACCCGGAACCAGCTCTATTATCTGATTGGCAGTCACTAAAGAAGGGATTATTGTCACAACCACAGTTCTTTGCTGAGTGGAAATTTTAATGTCTGTCACACCCTTGGTCTTGAGCAATGTGCTTTGGATATGGTCCCATGGTGGAGCCAGTGAAGCAATAACAGTCAAAAACACGGTATCGGTTAAAACAGGGAAAGGGTTAGGATTGTGGAGAATAGCATCAAAGCCCATGTCATCAATAGCTTCCTGTAGGGTCTTTGGAGTCTGTAGTTTAGGATCATAAATAATAGTTGCATTTTTTTCTTCTAGTGAAACCTTTTGGAAGGAAATTTCAGAAGTCAGTTTAATTAAATTACATGACATAAAATCTAAAAACAGCAATCATTGTACCACATTCAAGAAGAAAGAGGCAGGTCAAGCAGGCTAGGCAATGTTTGCAGGTGAGGAGGTGGCCCAAGTGAAGGTGCGAGGAAGGAGGTGGGTAAAAAAAAAGAAGAAGAAGAATGAAACAAATACTTCAGTCTAATGGAGTTTCTCTATTAGTTCTCATCCCTTCATTGGAAAGAAACACAAAATATCTTGTATACCTACAGGAATGGTAAAGCTATACGTAGGTATATGTGACTCAGGTACTGTTCAGACATTTGAAACATGCTCACAGATAAACACACCCTAGAATTATTACCATAACTGCATGCGTCTCTTTGGCTGACATCTTACAAGGATTTATGATGTAGTCACACACACATGCGCGCGCACACACACACTCGGGAGTCAGAAGATTTGAGTTCCAGTGTCAATTCTCCACTTGTTGGTCAACTATATTCATTAGTTCCACCATTTGAAAAATGGGGAAATATGCCCTATTATCTTCCAGGGTTGTTATAAGGATCAGATGAGTAAACAGATAGGAAAGCAGTTCTTTGCAGTAGCTAGTTATACAAAAGTAAACACTGAACAACTAATATTTATTGAGCACTTATTATATGTGCCAGGAACTGGGATTCTCAGGATACCAAGCTGTGCATGACACAGTCACTAAAAGAGAAAATAGACAAAATGGACACCCATTTGTTCCTGAGAACAAGGGTCAGAAAAGGTTCCTTAGTGGAGACAAACCCAAATGTTAAAGGACAAACAGAAATCAGCAAGGATATATAAGACAGGGAATTCCAGACAAATGGAAGCACAAGAGTAGAGAAAGATGACAGGCTGAAGAATTAGGGCAACTGCTTTATTACGAGGCCTCCTGTATGCCAACAAGGGTTTTTAACTTATCCTATAGGTTAATGGAAGTCCACGGAAATTTAAGAAGGGGAATGGCATGACTATATTTGCATTTTAGAGAAGAATCATTTTGGAGGCACTGTGGAAGATGATGCTGGGATGGAGTGAAGTGACACAGGAGAATGGGAGATCAGCTAGGAGGCTACTGTGATTGCAATAGTGGTACAATAGGTGTGAATTAGGCATGGACACTGGGGGTAGAGAAAAGGGGCAGTTCCAAGATACATTTAGGAGGGCAAGACCTAGTAAGGAGATTAGGAGATTATAGAGGGTAAAGGAGATGACTAGGATGACTTACAGGTTTCTGGCTTGGGCCAGTGGATAGATGATGGTGCCATTCACTGATATCACAAAGAGGAAGTTAAGAGATTGTAGTGGAGAGGAAAAAGAATATGAGGAATTAGTTTTAGACTGGTTGATTTTGAGAGGCAGTAGTGTATTAACTTTTTTGTTTGTTTGTTTTTCAAATTTATATGAGTTTATTTGAGCCAAATTGACAATTGCCCGTATTAACGTTTAAAGGCAGTTAAAGCATGGGTGTTGTTGTTGTTTATATTTACTTTTTGATTATTATTGATTCCTGGCGAAAAGCTTTGTTCCATAAAATAAGAACAACTCCAAAATAATTAAAAGTTATTCAGAGTAGGAAACCACACTTCAAGTCATCTACAACAGTTATATAGTTAAATCTTTCACTTATTTTAATATACATATTTTTATTTCTTCCTTTAGCTTGGTAAGCAACAGCTATGTATTTGATTAAATCATGACATGTGACCATGGCACAGAAAGTTTCTAAGACTGATAATTCTAGTTGATCAGGTTGTTCTTAGTTATGGAAGAGATCACTAGTATAAATGATCTAAACTACAAGTGGGAAAATAATTTATATTTTGTTTTAGAATACAATGTATAACATTTTCCATGAAAAAGCTGCAGAATAGCCAAATCACATATAGTTCAGATATATACTTTTGAAAGAGATGCAATATAAACACAGCCGCTATAAAATGAAGGCTTTTGTGTCTTTGTATCTTTAGAGATTCTCTTTTTAAGATTTAATTGCTAATCTCAGGAGTGAGGTCAAATGATTTTGTGATTAAGAAAATTACTCTAAAAAATTTAAACATTCAAACTAAAGGGGAAGATACAGAATAGACGAGGAGTGGTGAAGAAGTGAGTATAAAGTGGCAGCACAAGAGTGATAGGACTGTGCTGTCCTGGTTGTGGTGGTGGTTAAACGAATCTATACTTGTGTTAAAATTCACCAAAAGGTGGGGGGGAATCCCACAGAAATGTACACCAAAAAGAAGTCTATTTTACTAAATAATTTTTAAAACAAAAATTAAATAATATTAAAAATTCAGTTGTTCAGTTGCATTAGTCAGCCACATTTCAAGTGTGAAATGGCCAGTATGGCTAGCAGCTGCCATACAGGACAGGGTACATATAAAACATTTCCATCATTGCAGAAAGATCCACTGGACAGTACTGCTTTAGGTATTACTATACTTTTTCTGATAAAGTACCCAACTTTTGAAAAAGGAAGGAAGGTTCTTAAATATATTGTATCTCTTAAATAAGACCTGTTTTTGAGATTTTTTTAAAAAGATTTTTAATGGGGAATTGGGGGGAGGGGAACAGCATTGGAGAATTGGAGAAGGGGAACAGACAGGTAGACAAATTACTATTTTTGTTCTTCAGTCTAGTTGTTGAGGGCGTCGCTTCACTGGCTCATGTTGGTATGATCATTGTGCTCTTCCTGGGTGAGCCAATCAGTTGCCGGTCGGCTCCCGGCAGCTCACACTGGCTACCACCGGCTGCTGGCCACTCACGCTAGCTGCCAGCCACTCACGTAGCTCACGGCAGCCCGCTGCAGCCTACACCATCGCCGGCAACTCACGGCAGCCCAGCTCCAGGTCAAGCTGTTGTTCACCATCTTGGCTGTAGAAGGCACATCATCACTGGCCCTCATGTGGGATCAGAACCTCAGCCCTGCTGCTCAGAGCTGACATCCCAAGCAAGCTCTTAACCAGCTGAGCCACTCGGCTGGCCCGAGATTTTTATTTTTTAATTTTTATTTTTTTAAACTAAATTTATCAGGGTAACATTGTTTTAAAACATTATATAAGTTTCAGGTATACAACTTTATAAAACATCATCTGTATATTCCATTGTGTGCTCACCACCCAAAGTCTAGTCTCTCTCTCACCATATACTTGACCTCCTTTATCCTCTTCATCATGCCTCCACCCCTTGCTATGTTTTTCCCCAAAAAATGTCAATTTACCAACATACCCAATGAGAAAGTGTTCTGAAAACTGATTTTAGGGCCGGCTGAGTGGTTCAGTTGGTTAAGAGCTTGCTCAAGAGTGCAAGCTATGAGCAACAGGGTCACCAGTTCAATTCCCACATGGGCCAGTGAGCTGCGCCCAAGCTGAGCTGCCGCTGAGCTGCCAACAGGTGGCAGGATGTCTCAGCTGGTAAGCTCGTGCTCCTAACAACAAGGTTGCCTGTTCGATATGGTGGGCTACACCCGCCCACAACTAAAGGCTGAACTCGGCACCTTGAGCTGAGCTGCCGCCCGGGTGGCTCAGGGGATAGAGCGCACGCTCTTAACAACAAGTCTCCCGGTTCGACTCCTGCATGGGATGGTGGCTATGCCCACCTGCAACTAATTGAACACAGCACCTTGAGCTGAGCGGTGCGACTGGACCTGGAGCTGAGCTTGCTGTGCCCTCCACAACTAAGATTTAAGGACAACAACTTGGCTGTTCCCCTCCCCCAACTCCCCAACTCTGTTCCCTTCCCCCAATTCCCCAATAAAATCTTTAAAAAAAACCAAAAACTGATTTTAAAAGCGAAAATCACTTCCTCACTAAATGATTAGTGATACTTTCTACTACTTTAGCCTGTCTTCTATTTATAAAAGACATTGGAAATAAGGAAACTATGTACTTAAAATACTATACAAAAATGTTGCATTACACCTATATCGTTTTCATGCTGCAGCCAGGAAAAATTTCCTTATTTAGTAACTTCTATTTGTGTGTCTTAAAATTGGGCAAACACACAGCACACACAAAAATGTTCCCCTTGTCCCTTTTTAGGGCAATAGCACTCAAACTTTTCAGCTTAATGTTAGATATCAAAGAGACTTTTCAAGCCTAAGGTCTCAAAAGAAAACCTTTGTTTCTTTCAAGAGGAAATTCACATAGTGATTATCACAATACTATTCTGAATGCCAAGTTCTTGGGCAGGAAGCTAAAATAGCATTTATTTATTCAACAAATATTTACAAAGTATCTAATACAGGCCTGACACCGTGATAGCTGCTAAGGATACAACGGTGGGCAAAAACAGACACATACTCCACAGATCTGGAAACTGCTAGTAGTAGTCTGATTCTGGACCTGTGCAACTCGTTTCACATGATCCCCACCAACGAAAACCACCTTTGCCTATTCCCTACATTGTTCCAAAGTTTCCACAGCTTGTCTTTTTCTCAGAACCTTTCATTACAAATCAAAGCTGTTATTTTAATTTTCAGAGGAACTATTTTTCCATTATATCACTAGTTCCTCTGAAAATAAACATATAACAGTTTATAACTTGTGAATGTGGTTCATAGGAGGGACTCAAGTTGGGGGACTATTCACTATATGTAGATGAATGCAGGAGTGGGAGAGAAGAAATCAAACATACTCTGTGGCCCCAAAAGCACTAATAGTTGTGTAGAGGGTGCTAACTGTCTACAAGGATTGTAAAGATCCATTATTTTAATGTGTAGGGTATTCTTTACCTACTGAAATATCTAAAATTTGAAATTCAGGCACAGGGTACTTTATCTGTATGTTTTTTCTGTATAATTTTCATAAATATACAAAGGTTGCATCAGCTATTCTCAAGCAAGATGAAAGCTAGAACCTTGGAGAAATCACCCTAACTTGAAGGGCATCAGTTTCTTGAGCAACTGGACTAGAAAATCCTTTTTATCTCTAACTTTCTTCTATAAAAGCTTAAAACTT